TTTACTATCAAAGATGAGTTTATCTGCTCAATTCTCTTATTGAATTTTGTAAAAAATTGTAATTTTTTCATTTTTTTTGTTGAATTAACAAGGGACAAGGGGTTTAATTTCTGTTCCTGAATTGAATTTTGATATGAACTGGCTTACTTTTGATATATTTGATATCGCTTTACCTACTTTTTTGTCTTTTATGTACAGACTTGAAATTTGGACTATGGGTGTAATTTGTGTAATTTTTGATGTTGAATTCAATTTTGATACCAGCTGACCTACTTTAGGTATTACTGACATCATTTGACCTACTGTCTTGTATTTTGACATTCAGATTTTAAATGTTGACCAGGTTTGTAAATTCTGATGCCGAAATGAATTTTGATATCAACTGACCTACTTTTGATATTTTTGATATAATTTGACTTTCATTCTTGTGTTCTTGACATACAGACTTGAAATTTGGACTAGGGGTGTAATTTCTGATGCTGAATTGAATTTTGATATTAACTGGCCTACTTTTCATATTGTTTACAATGTTTGACCTATTGTCTTTTTTTTGAGGTACAGTTATGTTACCATACAGAATGTATAAAAAAATTTTGTCCCAAACTGTGAACTTCAAACATCTACACCTTACATGTTTTGCATGTAACATTTTGTGTTTCATTCGAAAAAAGTTTTTAAAAAAATTGTCCAATCAAAATTAATCCTGCTCTAGTGGTCAGTTGTTCTGCATTTATTCTTCATAGTCTCATAGTCACACACTTGCAACATACATATTTTAACAAATCCTTTCCAAAATATTAGGGCAAAATATTACAATTTTTATAGTGAATAATGAAATGATGGGTTAGATGAGTCATCTAGGGCCATCTTAGTGGTCCTATTGCTTATAATGAAGAAAAAAAGCTAAAACAATCAGTGTTGTGAAAGTATATTACTAAAGGGGCAAGTTAAAGTTGATCGAGCTGAACTGCCGAAAGAGCTGGACTTGCCTTTCAGCAAGTTCTTTTGAAAAAATAATTTCCAACACTGAAAAGCAGTTGTTTCTGGTGAGCGACTCAGGGCCATCATGGCCCTCTTGTTTAATAATTTCATTTTTCTTGCGCAATTCTCTAAAATGAGACTTGGTTTTTCTATATGCGTTTCACAATTAACATTCACCATACCAGGTTGTAAAATAACTTAATTTGGTCCTTAAATCAGTTTTTACCACAACATCAAACTTCATTCAGAATTCATGTCACGTTATTGTGAGCAAAATTCTGAGTTTCCTTTAGATATGAGCAAGAAAATGTTTATTACCCCCCGCCGAAAAGACGGATATAGAATTAGTCTCCATCCGTCCGTCTGTCCTTCCGTCCGTCACTCTACATTTTTGTCCGGAGCATATCTCAAAAAGTATCAATTTGAAACTTCATAGGTGGAGGTATCAACTTGAAACTTCATTTGTGGATAAATCATATTTAGGAAAAGTGCAGTGCACAAGAATGATAACTCTACGCTGCATATTTTTTTCATTGTTGCCCTTTGTTATTCTTCAAACTCAATTTTTGTCCACAGCATAACTCAAAAAGCCTTTGAGATATCAACATGAAACTTCATGTGGATAGATCTCACTCAGGAGGTGTGCAATGCAAGAGTGATAACTGTACCATTTCTAAATTTTGAGTTATTGCTCTTTGTTATTTTTCATACTTAATTTTTCACCTGAGTGGAGCATAAATTAACTAAAAAAACAAACTTTGAGATGTCAATGTAATCTTCATAGGTAGATAGATCTTTTTGAGGATGAATGTTGTGCGAAAGAATGATAACTCTAACCTTTATAATTTTTGAGTTATTGACATTTGTTATTTTCTTACTTTTTGTCCGGAGAATATCTAAAAAAGTGGTAGAGGTAACAACTTGAAACTTCATAGGTGGATAGCTCTTTTTGATGAGAAGTGCAGCACACTAGAATGATAACTAACCGTGCATTATTTTTCAGTTATTGCCCTTTGTTATTTTTCATACTTAATTTTGTCCAGGGTATAACTACAAACGCCTTTGAGATATCTACATGAACCTTCAAAGATAGACAGATCTCAGTCAGGAGATATGCAGTGCAAAAGAGTGATAACTCTACCCTTCATAATTTTTAGTTATTACCCTTTGTTATTTTTCAAACTAATATTTTCACCTCAGTGGAGCATATCTCTGAAAAAGTCTTTGAAATGTCAACATGAAACTTTATAGGTGGATAGATCTTATTGGGGAGGAATGTTGTGCGCAAGAATAATACCCTTTATATTTTGTTAGTTATTGCCATTTGTTATTTTTCATACTTTTTGTCCGGAGCTTATCTCAATTATTATTAATTGAGCCTTGATTTTAAACTAAATGTGTCTGTATTTCTTACCATCCTTTACTGGTTTTAGATTATCATTATTGTTTAATAGGTTTACTTAATTAATGTTGTTCATTATGTCTTATATATATATGATTATGTTTTATCGGATTTATGTAAAGCACTCTTGAACATTTATTATTTATGAAAAGAGTGCTATAGAAATGTGGTATATAATAATAATAATAATAATAATAATAATAATAATCTCAAAAAGGTGTTAGAGGTATCAACTTGAAACTTATTAGGTGGATAGATCTCATTGAGGAGGAGTGCAGCACACAAGACATTTAACCTACCGTGCATTATTTTTCAGTTATTGCCCTTTGTTATTTTTCATACTTAATTTTGTCAAGAGCATAACTACAAAGGCCTTTGAGATATCAATATGAACCTTCATAGGTGGACAAATCTCACTCGAGAGGTATGCAGTACACAAGAATGATAATTATTCTGCTCTACTACATATAAACATGGCTCTTGTAACAAGTTACATGATTATGATATTTTAAAACCTTCTGAACAAGTTAACATGTCAATTCCAAACAATGCTATTTGGAGATACCTTATCAATATATTTAACTGGCTTTTTTTGTTGTTTTTTTTTTTTTTGTGTGGGGGTTGGTTTTTTTTTTTGTCTTTGTTTTTCGCCGTGACAATCATATTGCTGCATTTCCCAGCAATTTTTTACTTGTAGAAATGTTACTCGATTGCCCGTGTGAGGATATGGATTGATTTATCACAATGTATACACCTCATGATATAAGTTAGGTGCTGATAGTATTTAATTATCAGATAAATAGGTTATCGGAGCGGAAAAATGCAATGCAACAAAAGCAACTTGTATTTTTTTAAAACTCTTCAAAGTGTATGTGAGGAAGACCTCGGTTTCTCTCCGTGCAGTATTTCCGGTATTTCGAGCCTAGATAGCTGCCTTACAAGAATACAAAGATTCAAGAAATTCAAAGTTAGCGATTCCATAACCATTCGAGTACTGTTGACCAAAATATTAGCAAATGTTTTGTAGTATAAGCTGCTCTTTTTTAAGGTTTGCCTTAAACTTACAATAAGCAATATTTATTGTTAGTACATCTCAAGTGTTTCTACTTATATATTATATGACTCATTTATGAGCTCTAGAAGACGCTTCATGTAACATCTTCATTTATTTTTACAAAAACAAAAAAGGTAAACGAGCCAACTTTTTTTTATATTTTTTCACATAATAGAAACACTATTTTAATACAAATGGTGTGGGTGGGGGGGAGTTATTCACACATGAGGGAGGGTCACGGTCCTACTGAGCTAGCTCTGGGTGAGCTTTTAGGATCGTTGAATATCCGTCGTCCGTCGTACATTGTCTGTCGTTCGTCGTCCGTCTACATTTCTTCGTTTACACTCTTATGGTCATATTTTTGCCTCAATCATCATCAAACTGTGTCAGGATATTTGTCTAGGTAATTGCTCGGATGAGTTCAATCTCGAGTCATCTCGGGTGAAAAACTTGGTCACAGGAGATAAAAACATAAAAATCTTGTTAACACTCTACTGGCTACTGTTTTGATCTAAATTGGTCTGAAAGGTTGTTTTAAAGACGGATGAAAAACTAGGTCACAGGAGCTAAAAACGAAAATTCTTGTAAACTCTCTGGTGGCTACTGTTGTTATCCAAATAACCTGGAAATTAGTCTGCAAGTTTGTTTTGATAATTTTATGTCAACTTTGAATATGGTTTACCTGAGGTCAAAAACTAGGTCACACTGCCCAAATATGGAAAAACCTTGTTAACACTCTAGTGGCTACATTTTTGACTCAATTGTCATCAAACTTCTAAGTAATTGCTCGCATGAGTAAGATGGGTCTGGTGAGCGATCTAGGGCCATTTTTGCCCTCCTTTTTGTTGAGTTATCTGCCTATGAACGACCTTTTGCTTGTTTATGGCCAATTCCTGAGCAGATTACTATTACCTATTGTGATATATTTCTTTTGAAAGCGAGTGAGGTATGCCAAACCGAAAGAAATAGCAACGGAAATATTTTGTTCTGGAACATTTTATTCTGTAAACGTACATTATTCGTTTATATGTAATCATATAGACATTCTATATTATCATTATATATGTAATAGTAAAATAAGTATTGACTTCTATAGTACATATATAGTGTATATAAGTATTTAAAATTTCAAAGTGATTTTTACCACATTAGATTATAAAAACGTGACCGAAATTCTCAGTCAAATATGGACATTATTTGGGGAAATAGTTGACAGAGTTATGTCTTATTGTTTGTGCTGCAGCAGAGTGATGGTTATAAGCAAGTAATACCAGACACTTTCCGAAAAAGTTATGAAATCTTCTTTCAAAGATTATGTTATCATCGTCCGCTCCCGACCACACCTGTAGTTATCCTTCAGGTCAGTCTGTCCGATTTTGCTTCAGTTGTTCAGGAAAAAACTTTATATTCGCGATTATAATGTTGCAGTCGTCAAAATCCGAGGCTTTCATGCGCATTTTTGAGGACTTAATTGGAAAATCGGGCTCTTTTTCTATAATTTAGATGGCACTAACTTGTTACTATTATATGTCAATAATAATTGGTTACGTGTACTTAATAATGTTGTTTTTTTTCATCTTTCAATTTACAAGATAGTCTTAGTTGAAAATTTAAGAATAAGTTTAAAGTATTGTAACAATGAATAAAGAAAGTTCATGTAGACTTTGAATATCTTGATCAACCCTCATAACTTTGTTAAAACACAAAGATACAATACCGGTATGTGAGAGAAAGTTAATCAATGTTATCAAAAAGTGGTTTTTCACACACATATTTCCGTTCGTTATTACAATCAATATCATTCCATGTTCCATTCTGGTTGATACAACTTGTCAAACAGTCCTCATTAGAATAGTTATCTGGTTGCCCTTCAAGCCAGTAAGTAAAGCCAGCGTCTATTGCTCTACCAGAACTTGTCCACTTCCATGTTCCCTCTTTCTTTTGATCAGATCCTCCAATCAAAAATCCTGTAAACTTCCCAGAACCATACCGCCCTGCAATACTTAACACAAGATCTAAAACAAACTTCACTTCATCTTCGCTCTCATATTCCACTAAATGTGCTCCTTCCTTTTTACAAGACTTAACAGCATGTTTACACGTCATTCTTTCTGTTCCAACTGAGTAGCATGACAATCCGTGTTTGCTCCATCCAGACATTCTTTAAGCGTGCTTAAAATATTCTTAATTGTCTGTATATCTTCCGTATTTTTTACAAAACTTATGTTAAGAGTATTTAATTCATCGTCATGCTTTTTAAGCGATCCCTTGTTAAATTTGTCAAAAGAGTTCAAATCTTTGCCATGTTTCTCCACTTTTGAGGATGTGTTATCTAATTTAGCTTTAACATCGGCCTGATTTTGCTCAAGTGTTCTTATATTTGCATTGAATGTCTTTTCTAATTGTGTGACATCTGTATTTAATGTGCGTATTAAAGAGCACATGTTGTTTTGCCTTGATTTCATACCTCGTCCACTGGTTTTTCTTGAGCCTTTTTGCAAGTCACAGTAATTGTTGTCGTTAAATGTTTTTCGTAGTTGACCAATATCCTTCCATAATTTCGAGATATTACCTCTAAAACCAATATATGTCACTAGAAATCGCCTTCAAAAAAATCATTTTTGAAATGCTTGTAGTTTTTTTCAGTAACATTGACTTTGATTTCTTTTCAGCACTTGATACCAGACCAAACACTAAGGTGAAAAACATCAAATAAAATGCTCCTCTAAAAATCCTCGTATTGATACTGCTATTCTAACAAATATAAAATTTGGAAACGTTCGTTCAGTTTTGTCTCATACGACGGTATGAGTTTCTACAGTGCTTCAATATAATGTGATTAATTATCAAACTTAGGACATAACGAAATATTTGGTAAGGCATAATATCAAGAATAACTTTGTTTTTCCGTCTGTTTTCCCTTTAGATAAAGGTGAAATGTATCTGAAAATGTTTTAAGCATTCTGCAATAGAAAACAATGCAACAACACAAAGAAAAAGAAATGCTAAAATGTTTGACTCGCCTTGGACCTTCATGTGTAATTTAACAAAAAACACTTCATGCCGTATGATGTAACTACATGTATTTCAAAAGGAATGCATTCTTGTTTCATTATTATCTCCTTAAAGAATGGCGTTATGAATTTCGAGCAGATAAATCAAGAAGCTTTGAAGATATAGTTGATAGAAATGTTACTTGATTGCCTATATGCGGCAATTGATTTATCACAATTTATCTTATCCATCATGTAATGATGTAACCAAATGTTATTTTTGTTGGGTATCACGACAATAATGCCAAGAACATGACACGACATTCAACCTACACTAGTAGAGAAAGACCATGTAGCGTTGACACATAACGCTGAACCATAATTGCCTTACAAGAATACTAAGATTCGAGAATTTCAAAGCACTGTTGTCCAAAACACATAGAAAAGTACTATATATAGTATGGGCTGCACCTTTGCTTTTTTTAGTTTTGCCTTAAAGCATACATGTACTTATTGTAAGTACATCTAAAGTATTTCTACTTAATGACGTATAATTATGATACTTAAAAAAAAAACATTTTCTATTGTTTCTTTATCGTTAACATAGACAACGAAGGAAAAGATAAACCAACGGAGATTTTTTGAAATATTTTTTTAAATAATGGGTCCCAGCCCAACTTTTAAGATCTCTGTCCCTACAAGTGAAATTTTGCTTGTTTTCAGCCATTTTCATGAGCAGCTAACTCAAACTATAGTAATGAACATTTCAAGTTCGTGTTTTTTACTCATTAAAGCATAGCAAACTATATTTGCATAGAATTGTTCTAAAATTTACACAATATCTGAAATGAAATAACAAAAATAATTAAATGAAATTAAAAAGATTTCAGTATGGTTAGTTTGGAGTTATCTGATCTAGAAAATGACCTTAAAGGCCCATCATGCTTCAGAAATGCTGTCAGTTTTATTTCTCAAAAAATAGTTATTTTTGGTATTTTGTTTCAGTTTCCAAAAATTTACCCATTTTTCTTATACATGAACTGTTTATGTAAGAGTTTAAAAAAAATGGATTTATGAGGCAGTTTTTTTAAATCGTTGTCTCAATATGATTTTCTTTTATCATGCAGATTTTAAGCATGAGGGCCAACATGGCCCTAGATCGCTCACCTGACCCAACAAACTCATACGAGCAATTACCTAGACAAGCATTCTGACCAAGTTTCATTACAGGTGAGTCAAAAATGTGACCAAGGATTTTCCATATTTGCGCGGTGTGACCTAGTTTTTGACCCCAGGTAACCCATATTCAAACTTGACCTAGAAATCATCAAAACAAACTTTCAGACCAATTTCCAGGATATTTGGATCAAAACAGTAGCCACTAGAGTGTTAACAAGATTTTTCTATTTTTAGCTCCTGTGACCTAGTTTTTCATCCGAGATGACCCATGTTCAAACTCATCCGAGCAATTACCTAGACAAGCATCCTGACAAAGTTTGATGATGATTGAGGCAAAAATGTGACCGCTAGAGTGTTAACGAACAAATGTGGACAGACAACGGACATTCAACGATCCTAAAAGCTCACTCTGAGCTAGCTCAGGGGAGCTAAAAAGCTTGTGTTTCCTTGTTTCATTTTTCCTTCTGTCCTTAAAAAAAAATTCAAGAAAATTAAGAAACTATAATTATGAAACATTTAAAAATATGCCTAGCGCTAAATGTGAAATAATTTGTCATAAATATAGCAAAACTTTAACAAAGTAGTATTTTAACTTCCGTTCATATACTAAATAACTTTAACTGCATTAATTGATAACAAGAAACATGGCAATGCCATGAAACCAGGTTTTCAATTATCACCATTGTAGATAAATATGTTGTATTTGAAATACAAATACAAGCAACAAACAATGTAACTATGTGCAATGTAAAACATGAATAATGTAGGAGGAATTGCCACTGAAGAAGTGTTCACTATAATAGTATGTATAAGGAAAAAAACAAAGGGCCATAATTAGGTCAAAAACTATCCAATCACAAAACCCCGACAATATGTGCCAGGGTGCTTGATGACAAAGCTTCTGTGAAAGTTTGAACAAAATCCGTTGAGAAATGTAGGACTAGTTCAGCACAGAAGAATTTGTTCACTATAATTATATTGATAATTCTGTATAATGAAAAACAAGTTACAAAGTAGACATGAAATAATATATCATATCTTTTTTAAATTACCTCCAAAGATGATATGACCTTTGACTGCCAAATCAAGTTAAAATCATGTAAACAGGATTTTCAATGTTAATGTCACTGTGACCTTGACCTTGGAGCCAGCCATGCGGAACATGCGTTCTGCACGTCATCTTGATGTGGTAAACATTTGTCTGAAGTTTCATCAAAATTCTTCAAAGGGTTGAAGAGTTACAGAGCGGACAGGATTTTCAATGTTAATGTCACTGTGACCTTGACCTTGGAGCCAGCCATGCGGAACATGCGTTCTGCACGTCATCTTGATGTGGTAAACATTTGTCTGAAGTTTCATCAAAATTCTTCAAAGGGTTGAAGAGTTACAGAGCGGACACAATTTCGTTTGACGCCCGCCCGCCCATCCGCCCAGCCGCCCATCCGCCCGCCATACCCCAATCTAATAACCAGGATTTTCAAAATTGAAAACCTGGTTAAAAAGCACAAGAAGAAAAAGATGATTCAGGTAATTGGCTAGTGTGTACCTTTTCGGAAACAATAAGAGTACATCAAAAATAAAAATCTTCTGAGAAATAAAAACAAAAGCATTTCTGGACCACCACGGAAGTCATAGATAGGCCAGGTATTGGACACTTCATTGCACACTTCCATGAGCCCAAGAATTTCACTAATTCATTTCTGTTTTTACTGTTCTCAATGGACTCGTTCCATATTCAGAAAGTTGCATGTTTTTTAGATTCCTTTCCCAATTAATATTCAAGAAAACATAGGCATTTCTTCATAAAATTTATTTAAAAAAAAAAGAAGAATATCACAGTCAAGGAAACTAAAATCATTTAAATGCAAGACAAATATACAGTGCTTTCAATTTTAAGAAGTGGAATTTTACATAAATAATACTATTATACTTAAAAAGTTATTCAATTTCCTTTGTCCCACTGACAGATTAAAATATATGATTTAAATAATAAATCATAACATATAATTGTCTGAAGGGCTGTCAGCTTAAGATAACTTTGTTAAAGATTTTGTTACAGCATTTGGGCCAGTTTGAATTTCTGTTACTTCTTCTGCAATGACGACACTTTTTGCACTTCTTGTACTTCGAATACTTTTAGATGTAGTTGGTCTTGAAGATTTATGACTCTCTGCCTTGTTTGCCTCGTTGACCATGTCCAGCAAGGTTTGACTTCGGGTGCTGAGTCGACTGAGACCGCCTTCCCGACTCGAAAGTCGGCTGCTTCCCCGGGAGTCTACAAAAACACAGAAAAAAATGTTGAACTCTTTTTCTTAAATACTTACATAATTATAGGACTCATTTTGGAAGAGTTTTTTTGGGACATATTAAGAGTATACATTTTATGAAAAGCATATCAGTTTGATCATAACTTAATTAACAAAGTTTAAAGAGGTGACAATTTGATGGCTGATATCTTTGAAATTATCGAAAATGTATATCTTTTTTTTTTTTAAATGAAAATGTTATGCAAAATATTGTAAGTAAATGTATTAATGTAATTTATTAAAGCAATGTTAAAAGTAAAAATTTAAAGTAATGATTATTGCATTACTAGTACTTAACTGATCTAATCAAAAATTATTTTCATATATCATTTTTCTTTGACAGCAATGTCAGAAAAAATGAATACTTCTCTACAAAAAGATAACGTTATGGGAATAAAGTATTAATAATTAAAGTATCAAATATATGAGCCGCGTCATGACAAAACCAACATAATGGGTTTGCGACCAGCATGGATCCAGACCAGCCTGCGCATCCGCACAGTCTGATCAGGATCCATGCTGTTCGCTATCAGTTTCTCTACTTGTTATAGGGTTTGTAAGCGAACAGCATGGATCCTGATCAGACTGCGCGGATGCGCAGGCTGGTCTGGATCCATGCTGGTCCCAAACCCACTATGTTGGTTTCGTCATGACACGGCTCATATTAGGTTTTCAATGATGTTGTTTCTTTCCTATATGCTCTGAGAATAAACTAGATGAACATTACCATTCTACTATACCCAGATAAAGCACAGCTATACATGGAAAAATACAATTAAGTGATCATTTTGATTACATCATAATAATACTCAGTAATATTATTATACTGATTCTTCTCAATTAAAGATCCTGTAACACAATTTTTTATGGTTTTAAATCATAAAAATGATGCTCAAATAAAGATTTATCAATATTGTAGGTTCCAAAAAGCAATATATATATAAAGATATTACCGAATTTAAAATTTCATGAAAATAAAGGGAGGTAATAGTGTCAAATTTTACAATAAGAAATGAATGCATATATTCTAATGATTACATATAATATGCACAAATATTTACAGCACATATTTTACATATTTTTCGATGTTTGAAAATTGTTTTATTTGCATAATTATGTACAATATATAATATATTTTCACTCAGTGTGGTTTAACACTGTGATTATAACATATTACAGGATCTTTAAAGGTCCTCAAAATGATATATAGTATAATATTAGCTAATCTTGTGTTAGACAGCAATGAATTGCTGCAAAGAACTCAAATACACATGTAAACAAAAGTATATCATATTTAAGTATAATGTCCACAAAGTTGAAACTTTTATCAATTGTAATAAGGTCTCCTTGAAAATAAATGAAATACTGTATAACAAAACACCAATTCATGTAAAACTAATTCTTATACATTCATAAATCTGCACACTGATTACTTCTTAAAGAAGAAATACCATCACCAAAATTTTCTTTATAATAAATAACCAAAACACCAATACATTTAAAGGTAAAGTTTAGAATAATGTTTGAACAAAAGTCACATTTGTATATAATAAGGTCTTTATTTGTCAGGAAAAAAATGTCAGAATTTAGTCAATTTACCATTTACACTGTATTAAATCTTTCAAAAAATCTATAACACATATTGTGGACTCAAATAGAGTTGTTTGCAAGAGTGCAATTTTCAGTTTTCTCATACTTTTTCCCATGAATTTACTTTCACTCTTGTCTCCACGACAACCATGCAGAATGGTAATAATCCAAAATGAATTTTCATAATCCTGCAATGTGGTTGAATGAATAACTCAATTCTCAATGAAATTTACAAAATTTAACTAAATGAGCCGCGTCACGACAAAACCAACATAGTGCTTTTGGGACCAGCATGGATTCAGACCAGCCTGCGCATCCGCGCAGTCTGATCAGGATCCATGCTGTTTGCTATCAGTTTCTCTACTTGTTAAAAGGTTTAAAAGTGAACAGCATGGATCCTGATCAGACTGTGTGGATGCGCAGGCTGGTCTGGATCCATGCTGGTCGCAAACCCATTATGTTGGTTTTGTCATGACACGGCTCAAATTTCAAATATGTAAGATTTTGGCTTTCCTATTGCAATACCTAATAAAGTCTTGCCTGGAATAATTATAATCTAGCTAGAAATATGTCACATAATCTATATAGACCTAGCATATCTTACCCTCATCCACTGAAATTCTTAACCTAAAAAGTTCAAGACTATCCCTTAAAAATGTTTACTTGAAACATAGATGTTCACAATATTTTGAGTGTTGGAAAGTTTATGAACTCTTTCTGTAGGAATTTAAAATTTTTTAATAACATTTTATTTATCATGCATCTAAATATCAGTTAAAAATTAAGTCTACTTAAGTCTTATGGTCAATTAAATTGTAATGTTTCTTATGTGTCACAGAACAATAATTATTATGGTATATTAAAGAATTCCACAGACTGATTAATAAAATTTATGTATAAATAGCTTCAAACACAGACCAGTAAGGACATGTTGACAAAAGCTCAATAAAAAAAACATATAGTTTTAAAAAGTCATGAAATTATACTTATTATTGCAATTTTGTTCACAACAAAAAGTGTGTTGATATTGATTCCCATCCTTCATGAAACAGCCAACAAAGAAATTACATTTGAGCCGCGTAACAAAACCAACATAGTACGTTGGCGACCAGCATGGATCCAGACCAGCCTGCGCATCCACGCAGTCTGATCAGGATCCATGCTGTTCGCTTACCAACTCTATTACAAGTAGAGAAACTGATAGCGAACAGCATGGATCCTGATCAGACTGCATGGATGCGCAGGCTGGTCTGGATCCATGCTGGTCACCAACCTATTATGTTGGTTTTGTCATGACACGGCTCATTTCTTTTCATAACAAATCTCATCATACATTTCAAATAAGAGTTGAAATGACTTAAATTAAATAAATTTAAATAAATCTTAATGCAACATTATGAATTTGGACAATAAAATCCCAATATATGTTTTACAGAAAAACTTATTATCAACACATCGAAGTATACAATAACTTGCAAGTTTTGTCAAATTTAAATCATAATCATTAAATAGTTCATAAAAAAACTCTATTTGTACTGAAAACTTCATATACATGTATTTGTTCAGTTTTAATATAACTAATACAGAAACATGTGAATCAATACAAAAGTTATTATTCTTTTTCTTTCCATAATACAAAAATCCCAAGTGGGTCTAACATCACTCACCTGAGTTTATAGAGAAGAATGCTATCATGAGCCAATATGTTTTACAAAACTTTTGAAGATGGTGAACAAGACAATGCTACAAACCAAATATCTTATAGCTCTTTTGGATTTAGAAAAGCCGATCATAAGTAGTAATATATTCCAATATATAACAAATCTAATATCTAATTAATGAAATTGTGGAAAATGACAAATAACAGCAGGATGCAGACATCAAATGATCACAAATATGCTCTCCTCTGAGCACCTTCTGCTAAAAAAAGCTAAAATGGTGGGGAATTCTCTTTAAAACAAACAAAATTCATGCAAGAAAAAAACAAGTGAAGTAAATGGTGAATGTTACCTGAAACTCAATGGTTTTTTCCCAGCAGCAGTGCTAGGGGTTCCTGTTAGTGGTTAGATAGAACAAAATGGTCATTATGATAGATAGTAGGTAGGAACATGTGTAATGTGATCATCATGTGAAAATCATGCTGTATACCCCTGCCATTGTTGGCACAATCATATAACAACACCTACATGCTTAATTGGTTAACAAATAATTCAAAGAGTCTATTAATAATAAACCATTCTATTGTAGAAGTAACCCGGAAAATGCTTTCCCCTTTTGCCCAATCTACAATTAATAAGTCATCTAAATTTCAGATCTTCATGTTTTGTTTTAATCAAAATTCCCAAATTGAACTGAGTCATAATTATAAAGTCTGGTATTAAAGACTGTAAAGATATTTTAACTAAAGCATGTCTGGTTCTAAACTATATTTTAACCCACGCATTTTGTCAATAATGCCATTTAATTATAGTTAACATATAGATAATACGGTTTATTATTAATAAACTTTTAAGCAAACTATCATCAGTTGGGCTTTACAACATAATATATAGTCTACATTATCTCTTAAACTGCTGAATTTGATAAATTGACTTGACCAGCTTTTTAAATTAACTTTTTGAAAATATCCATTATCAAAGAGGTGTGGGCTGGCCTGACTCTATAATACCCACTTCAAAGCCTTATTACTTTCGATTCCAGCAGGTTAAAAGATTTATAACATAACACAAATTAGAAATTATACAGTAAAGAGTATAAGCAGATAGAATGTCATAAGATTTTATATTTCTCAAAGCAGTACTTTCTGAAATGTACACTATATAGAATAAATATTTACATTACAAAATTAATGAATGTGCTGATGATGTTGTAAAATTAATGAGCTCCTATTCTATATAGTTAACTGTTATTAAAATTTAACATTCATTCTTAACATTACAAAATTAATGAATGTGCTGATGATGTTGTAAAATTAATTAGCTCCTATTCTATATAGTTAACTGTTATTAAAATTTAACATTCATTCTTAACTTTGATATAAAACTGTTATTTAAATATGAATATTGATGAATAGAAGGAAATAAGAATATTTATCAAATAGAAATTAAAATTTAATGAACTGAATTTAAAACTAGATTGCCAAGCCAACTAAAGGTTGGATAGTCAAGATATAAAAGCTTGTATTCCTAAGGTCAGTTTTAAATAACTTGATTATTCATCTTTCACCTTATGAAACCAAAAAAAGTTAGAAATTTAAGTAAGTCCATGACTATGATGAAGTTCCAATGAAAAAAAAAATTGTATAAAATTGTATGTTTATTTTCTACAATTTAATAATGATATGCCCCAAATGCTACTATTCAAAGCCACTAATTTATGATAATAAACGTGACATATATGAAAAAATCCAATTGATTACCCAATCCCAATTGATTAAAAGAAATTATTACGGTGTTTAGGTACTTAACTTTAATGATAACATGATAGTCAATAAAGAATATATAAACATGTTTGTTTGATACCTTTTAATCAATAAATATAAGAAACCTCAGAATACTATTTTAACAAATATTTATGAGGTAACATTTTTATCAATAAGAATTATCTCCGGTAAAAAAAAAACTCCTGTTATTTTAAGTTATAATAAATTATTAGAAAATATGTAATGTAAAATGTTTCCCTGTACATGTGATACTCTAACCAAATAACCAATTGTCCCTTTATATCTTCTTAGTGTTTGAAATTATTTTTGTCCAATAGGATTGCAGTATTTCAAATAAATTGTAACACATTTACTTTGGTAAATCGGCAAACTGTGAATCAGTCTAGTAAATTGACTGTTTATCAAAATAATTTAAAACACTAAGATGGTTAAAATTATTAGTACGTATTTACAAAATTGTCACACCTGACAAAATTTAGTTTTGTAAATATGTACTAATAAACTTTAACCTATACTTAAATGCCATGTTATCATAATTCACCTATACAATAATATTTTCATAAGGAAGTTAGATAATTACAGGATGAAAGCGAGAGTTTAATACAACACTGTTATAACTAAAAAACTTGAAGACCAAGCTTAGATAGTGTTACATTGAACTTTTAAATTAGAGTTGGTGCAAAATGATGAAATAATTGTGCTCAAGAAATAAAGAAAGGTATAAAATGGTTATAATTCTGACTAAATTTACCTGGAGTTGGGGTACGACACTGACTCAAATACGAGTCTAAATAGAGATGTAGATATTTTAACAACATGCAATAAAATTGACAATAAATTAAGTTTGGAGGACAATATCATGAATACTCATATTCTGATATGATCAAGTAGTGAGTGATTAATATATACATGTTTTCACATTGAATGTTGTTTCAGTATAAATATAATTATACAATGTATATGATAAATGATTGCTCTCCTCATTTCAACTCCAATCAAATGAACTTTGATCAAATTCAACACAATTCATAATTTTTGTTTGTATATTTTTATTTTTGGTTGGGTTCAAAGTCACACTGACATCATTAAGGTTAAATGGCGACTTTCAAGCTTTCTTGGTAGAGAAAGACCTCTGGTTACTCTCCATTCACTATTTCAGGCATGAGCTGGTACCTGGCAGAGCAGAACCATCAACCATGGTTACTTAAGCTAAAAAGTATGCTGGAAAGCCTTTTTACAGGAAAGATTATCCAAAGTTCCTAAGACGGGGTGGGGAATTGGAACCTTTTAATATGTTTTATAGTAAGAAAGGGCTTCAGGCAGACCGACAGACAGAAAGACAGACACTGTTGATATTTCTATTACATAATTGTTACGACATTTATCTACTATTTATTATTTGTTGTCTCATAAAAGAGCAAAATAAGAAAATTTTATGATAATTGAGCATGCTTGAATGATTACCATATATACAGTTATATAAATCAAAGTTCTATGTCCAGAGAGATATAATTTCTATATTCATGCTAGGTAAAGACAGTACATAATATGTATAGTACATGTATATAGACAATGGCTGGTAGTATGGAACATGCATAATTTATAGGGGTGTCAAAATCTTACATGTTTCTTATGTTTCCCTGTTTGCATGTAATTTTACAAAAATATTTTCCTTTAATTTTTTACACAAAGGATTCTTTTTTTTTGATTTAACCCTTTTCCAAACATGACATATTTGGTACAAAATTGCCGTTTTCAGTTGAAAATGTTTTGTCTCTTTAAAAGTTAAAATGATCTAGTTAAACTTTATAGAAATTTAATATAATCATAATTTGAAAATGTTTTACTGGACCATTGCCTTTTGGCTCTTCATTTCATTAAATTTTTATACCAAATTTTGGAAGAACGACAGTCTCAAAATTTGAAAAATCATTTTATCCTCGAATGAATTTCCCATCAAAATTTATTTAAATGCTGTTCCAATTGAGATGGAAAGAGCTCTTTGACTTTTACACGTTATTATGATCGAAACTGAGGTGATTTTGACCTTTAACCAAGTCCACAAATTTACGGCAAGGGACTTGCCCCCCCCCTTTTAAAGCCCCCCAAATAAGTGGGCAAAATTCCCCTTTGGCACCCCCATAATGTATCGTTTGGAGGGGTTGCGCGAAAATTTGGGCAACTTTTTCGGCACCATTCTCAAACGATACACAGTGGTTGGGGCCCAAAATTGCGACCATTTTTTTTTTGAAAGGGGGGCAGAGTTCAGCCAAGTGCGTTTTTGGCTTGTATGAGGGTAAAAGGACTCAGCATTATAATAATAATTTAAAGCCAATGCTGAGATGGGCTCCTTTTACTGCTAAATCTTAATTTCTTAAAAGTTTGCAGCCTTTGAAATAAATTTTTATGAAAAATAGAGGCAAAATAGTGATTTTTAAGGCAAATTTGAAATATTTCCCCCTCTTGCCATTAACAAAAATTTAAAAAATTAACAAACAATATGGACCAGATTACAATTTGTGATAAAAGTATTCATTTATCTATTGAAGCAGTTTTCCAAGTTTTATAGGTTTTAAAATGTTCAGTAGGCTTACATGAAAAGGCCCTTTATTCCCAAATACTCATGGGGTAAAAGGGTTAAAACAGCATAGCCAAGCAGCCCTCTGCTTAATATTATCATAGGTGAAAAAGTAAAGATCATTTAATTATCATGAGCGAATAAGGTTATAGATTATTTTCAAACACTTAATAAAAACAAAAGATCAAATGGTACTCCTGAAATTAACAGGTCTAATTTGTTATGTAGAATTAAAGAAAACATTTTTCTTCTATCAAATACTTTAAGAACTGTCCAATGACTGTATTAGATTTTGGTGGAAACAAAAAATGTGCAAAACTTCTGCGTTTGTTTCAAAGTGAGTGACCTTTTATATCATTGGTGCTTTCAGCAAAACCAATCTAAAATTCTTAAACAAAATGTTTACACCTTACAATTTACTATGTGTAATCTCTGTTTAGGTCCCTCTTATTTTATTTTTTGGTCTTTTATAATGTTGCTCTAAATTGATTTGGCTGAAAATTATTTTAAACAACAAAATTACCAAAAATGAAATTTGAAGTACAAAATTTACAACAGTGATATTGGTTTCTGCTTTAATGACTGTAGATCAAACAATATGTTCAGTTTACACCTCATTTACAAAACATTGCCTTATTTAGAATCCCTCCTAAAACCAGTCAATTTTATGGATCCCGATTGACCTTACTATATTTAAGTATATCGTAGATGATCTAGGTTTATTTAGAACAACCACTCAATTTGGATCCTCTTTATCTAGTTAACCATTAAGAAAATGAAGACAATTCAATTATAATTTTTTATCATTAATAAGCAAATAAAACACTTATTAACATTCTAATTATCTAATACCATGCATGATTATCTGTCTATATTTAAGTTAGAGAGCTATTCTGTCAAATCTAATCACAAGGTTCGTACTGTTCAACATAAAGACTCAAGTATGAAGGACAGGTGTTTTAGGCTGTGAAGAAACCTGAGGGGAAACTGGCATGACCAGACAGGCGTCTTATGATTTCAATACATAGCTTCTTTCATGCATACAAGAAGTTTGTTTGTTTTTCCATTTTTCAATAATTTTCAAGATAAGTCTTCTAAATTATTCTTTTCATTGTTAGACTGTAAGACAAGCCCTAAACAATTAAAACAATCTTTAATTCATTTGTTTGAAAAAGTTAAACAGTTAAACAGTAAATTTTACAACACAATATCAAAGTGACTGTGACCTCTTATGAGTGAGACAAAAAATAGATAATCTTACCTTTTGGCCTCCTACTAGCAAGGTTGTCCAGGAATGAGGTCAGATAACCTAGCTCCACCTCAAGCTGGCTGGTTATGTGCGATATTTTCTCCTCTCGTTTTGATGTCCTGTCCAGCAAATTACCCAGCTCATCTACAACACCTTGATCTCTGTCTGTAAATTTCTACAAAATAAACACTAAGGTCAGTTCTATTATTACAAATGAAAGTTTGGATAAACAATTCAAGATATTTGGGTTGAGAATCTTAGCATTCATTGTAAGTGTATAACAGACAAAAGTAATGTCCTTGTCTGTAACAACGTCATAAAGAGGGAACATTAAAGTGTTTATGAATTCAACTGCTAGGCCAATTTGGGTTAAAAGTTTTAGTCTATGCCCTACTTTTTCATTCAATGAGAATGCCTTAATCACAGTTTATTTTGCATTAACTGTGCTCAATAGTGCTTATTTAACCATTCAGTTCTATCTTGAAAATCACTATGTTTGTCTACAAAAAGTAGGTCAGCAACAAAATATAAATGCTTTAAACAGCTACAGATGCTCTTATGTCCCCCCTTTGAGTCTATTAAATCATTTGATCTGTTCTTATTAAGTATCTAACAATTACATAAGACAAACTGTCTTCATAAAATTACCACATTTCTTTGACATTAACTCACTGCTAAAGGCATTTTTGTATTGTTTTGTTTTTCAAAAGGTCATATGACAACTTTAAAACTTAACTGCTGGAGAAGGAAAGTGGTGGCATGGATGAGTGGTTAACATGTTGGACTAGTAATCTAATGATTGCTAGCCGCATGGATTCAAACCCAGTCAGGGGCAAGTCGATGTTTCCTAGAGTAAGAAACTTTGCACACATTGCTCAGTACTGGTTAATTCCAGGAACGGATTTGAAAGTGTGACTATAAGCTCATAGCTTCTAACACAAACTAAAATAAATTCTGTATAAACCAAAGACAGCAAGTACACCACTAATAATCATTTGAGAATTGTTTTGTTGGTTTGTTTGTTTCATTTTACGCCTTTTCCCAACAGTATTTTAGGTATATAGGCGGGTAGTTTCCTTACCTTCGTTCCTGGAGAGTTACACCAGTACTAGACTACCTTCCTCCGCGCTAAACTACCAAAGCATTTCCCAGGGATCGAACCCACGCTAGAGGTAACTGGATTAGAAGTCATTGACTCTAACCCCTCGACCATGGAGGCAGTATTTGAGAATTGAGTAGTCCTACAAAATATGAATCAAATCTATAACAAGTAGACATACCTGCTGTGTGTCTTGGTCCTCCTGCCATGTCTTTTCTAACACACCTGTAAGTCAGACATTATATGGATTTAAAATTCATTTGTTATTTAAACACAGCTATAGTCTACACCCAAATGTCAGCTTTAACTTTTATGTTTCCCGAGGAATTAAGTTTAAAATTCATCGTTAAAGAAACTTCACTGAGATAAAAAAACGAAAATCATAAAATTTGAATTTCTTACATAGATCACTAGGGGCACTTAAAATAGAAAGAAATGTAAAGGATAATTTAGAAATATCCTCAGAAGTAATTTGAAAATTGTATTTTTGTGCAAATCTCAATCCGATTGAGTAAAAAGTGTTGCAATGCTCTTCAATTTAGGATAATCTTTCACAATTAGTATAATCATTTTGGAAAAACAGAGTAAGCAAATGATCTAAATTTTTGGCACAAGTTATTGTTATTATAGACCTATATCAAATGATACATTAATCTTGAAAATATATTTTCCATTGCTGCCATGTTAAAAAAAACCTCAGTTGAGCCCTTTTTTAGTTAAAACCATTTTACACAAAGTTAGATAACCAGTTTAACTATGGGTAATAATACTTATTTTGAACCCTATCTAAAATTACAATGATTTAATAATTGATCCGTGCCACGACAAAACCAACATAATGGGTTTGCGACCAGCATGGATCCAGACCAGCCTGCGTATCCATGCAGTCTGATCTGAGGATCCATGCTGTTCGCTTTCAGTTTCTCTAGATGTTATAGAGTTTGTAAGCGAACAGCATGGATCCTGATCAGACTGCACTGATAGGCAGGCTGGTTTGGATCCATGCTGGTCAACGCACTCATACATGTGACAAATGAAATGGGCCAAATCTGGATTTTCAGCTGGATTTTGAGGCTCAAAACTGGATTTTTTATCGACTCGAATTTCAATGCGTGATTGGCACATTTGGTTCAAAGAATCTATATTACCCTCAAAATCATTAAATGATTATACTTTTTATGATTTTTTTTGTTGATCAATATTAATTAATTTCACCAAAAAAATAAATAAAAAGATAAATACGGTAAATAAGTGTAGTCATACAGGCTATTTCTAAAACAGTCACACTTTCACATTTCATTATTTTCAGTTTGAAGAATTATCTGTCTTTTCAGTCATTCAATAATTGTCTACAAGCTATTTGAAAACGTACAACAACTATTCATGAACATAAGACTGTGACAGTTAAATAACGTAACATAAGTAGAAGACTCAAAATAAATACAAGAATCGTTCTGTTAATTAAATCCACATTTTTGCCTGGATGATAGTGTAATTCCTAAACAAAACAAAAAAATTACCCACTCACTAAAAATAGGTTAATTAGACATCTCAAACAGGTTTTTGAATGATCCACTTTAAATGATTCTGCTCACCTTTTATCTTTATCAGTGCGGCACTAATCAAAGAAAATCAAAGGTTGAGCCGAATTCATACATGTAAATTTACAGGGTAGTTTTGATGACGTAGCGTGTAATACCTACTGCCAAATTACAAAAGAGGTCAATTGACTGACACACGACACGTGATAAGTTAAACATGTGAGAATAACTTTGGGTATTGGAACTGTTTATTACGTCACCTTGCTGCCAATTAGCAACTCAACATTTAATCCGCTATAATTTAGGATATGGACAGATAACAATCAATGCCCGGAGGCACTGTTTACATTTTAGATACAGGTGCTGTGTTTAATTTTTTTTTATGTTGATTTTTTTTTTAAATATCGGGAATTCAAGCTGTAATATCGGGAATCGGGATCAGTGTTGAAATATCGGGATTTTTTAAAATCCCGCCGGGATGTCACATGTATGCGCACTACGTTGGTTTTGTCATGACGGGGCTAATATATACAAATTTAGGGAATACCTTTGGTATTAAGGAGTTCTTGCAGAAGTCTTGCCTTGAGTCTCTCATTATATTCCATTTGATAATGTATGTCATCTATTTCTGCTGTGAATTCCTTACATCCCTACAGAAAATAATAAAGTATTTACATATTGTCATATTTCATTTCAGTTCAATGAATGTACATATAGCCAAATAAATGTACACATGAAACCCTGCAAATTTTAATCAGCTTTTGTCACACGCTGGCAGGCAAAATTATAAACTTGTCAAAGTGTCATACTTTTAAGCAGTGTTGTCTGCTCCTCAAAAGTGAAAGCACACTCTTCTTCAACTCAATACAAAATCACAAAATCAACAAACATAGAAATGCACAAAACAGTGACTTTAACGGCCAAAATAACAATGGTACTTGCAGTCTATCTTTTTTATCAAACACAATTTCTAATATAAAATGCACGTGTCTATCAAACAAATGTAAATGAAGCACTATGATAATAATTCTGTCACTGGTAAACTTAAAAGAAAACAAACAAAACTGCATGTTACCTCATCTAATTTATGATTTTCATCAAGGACAGTTTTCAATTTACAACCGCCCACATAGATCTCTGACTCTATTTTCTTGGTCTCCTCGCCATGATGTTTCAGCTGGAATATCACCTCATGTCTCTTCTGCTTTAGATCATGACGCAACTTCTCCTATATGAAAATATTAAATGACGATCAAAACACAAATACAGAGTTCAATACAGGCTTATGAAAAAGTAAAACTGCTAAAGTAAAGCTGCTAAATGTAAAGCTGCTAAATGTAAAGTAAAGGAGATGGGCTCGCACGGCTCTCATTCCAATGCTTATCTGGTGTAAAGAATTTACAATCTGCATGTATATATCTTGAATAAAAATGTGTTTAAAGCAATTTTACAGGCTCACTCATTCATTAGGAACTCATTCTGAAGAGACTAAGAATCTTCACCAGGGGATGCCAGTATCGGTAACTTGTGGTAATTATAGATCAATGTATCCATTTAACACCAGTAAACACACAAAGAAAACATATTAATACACCAATCTCTTTCTTCATCTTAACAGTGGGGCATTCTGAGATCTGTTTGTTCTTCAAATGCTATTGCTTTGAAGAGTTTTAACTTTTCTTCTGTTGAAATGAGAGTTACTGTATAAGCATGTACAAGGAGATATGCAAATTTAGAATATGATGTTTATACTATAATGTTATCCAATTTATAAACAATGTTTATTGTTTCATTACATAGAGCTAACATAACTATGTAAATATCCTATTTTCTATCTCATCATGCATGTATATTAAATCATACTTAAACTTCATAATAAGTACATATTAAAGAAACACTTAGCAAAACAAGAAGATATCCTTCAAAACAAAACAAAAAACAAAAGTACAAAGTTTATTTGACTTTAACCTTGAACCAGTTACAATTAACTGCATTATGATAAAGAGTCATTAAAGTAGCTTGCCATTCATTCTAATTTTGATAAAAAGTTTATAATTATTTTTATTAGGAAACTATTTAAAGTATACAATGAAAAACAGTGTAGATTCAGTGAAATCTTGCAAATCATCACATTCATTATGAATTTTTATACATTTCTTAAATTCTTAGAAATTTACAATTTATAAACTCTTCTTTAAAGAAAACTGTGAGTCTATGGGAAAATTTGCTGGTCACAATAACACTTCATAAAATGTCAAATCATGACTTACGACATGACCTTCAAATGAGTGTAACTTGACCTCACTTTTAACAAACTTAAGAGCATATTAAACTAATTTCCTTTTTCTCCTGAATGCTAGACGTTTTTGACATTTATTTTTTCTGTCATGCATGCCATGTGGGCAGATAACATAAGTAGGTAAAGTGGATCTAGATAATCTATGTAATACAAAGAGTATCTACACTCAAGGCTATATGATTTTTTTCACAAATGTGCCCATTTAATATTAGTTTTAAAGGTGAACATTTGAGATAAGTTTGAAGAAAGTCCTTCAAGAAGTTTTATGAGAATTTATAGTTGAGACACACCATACATGCCATTATCCACCGCCGGGGGACAAAAAACCCCGATTTTCAACAGTCTCCCGATCTCCCGCCGTGGGATCAAAATCCCCCGATTTTCAAAAATTCAACCAACAAAAAAGTTAAAATCATTTTTTCCAATAAACATAATCTAACAATAGACTTAAACAACTTTTACAACTATACATGCCTGACACATGCCTGCTCCGACACACTTCAGCTGTCAAGGAATATACAAACCAATGTATGACAATTCTCCTTTGATAAACCTGTCAATCAGTGTCAGTATGTATAGGATATCGACCGAGTACGAGGTCTTTCTGTTTAGGAAAGACCTGGTCACGAATTTTCATGTGACACCGAGAGCGCGTAGCGCTCGAGGTGTTTCATGAAATTCGTGACTAGGTCTTTCCTAAACAGAAAGATCGATGTACGAGGCCGATATCCAACTTACACACCGTAAAACTATACTTGCTTGAGCAATGGCTGATCCGAAGCATTTGATGTAATGCACAAATATTGTTTTTACCACAACGCAATACAGGTAAGCTTTTTTAAATACAATAGATATTTTGCATTTAATTTTGCTTTTCCCTTGAAAATAATAATCAAACAAGAGGGCCATGATGGCCCTGAGGTCGCTCACCTGTATATAGCCCCCCCCCCACACCCATAAGAAGATGTTTCATGCTAAACATCTAAGCTCTAGCTCATTAGAAGATTTTTAGTTAAAAACAATAACACCCCTGGGGCGGGGCCAGTTTTGACCCCAGGGCTTTTATTTGAACAAACTTTGTAGACACTTACTAGAAGATGTTTCATGCTTAATATCTAAACTCTAGCTATTTGGGTTTTTTCAAAGAAGATTTTAAGTTTTTGCTATACACATATAAGGAAAATCAATGACCCCCGGGGCGGGGCCAATTTTGACCCCAGGTCTTTTATTTGAACAAACTTTGTAGACACTCACTAGAAGATGTTTCATGCTTAATATCTAAACTCTAGCCATTTGGGATTTTCAAAGAAGATTTTTTAAGTTTTTGCTATACACATATAAGGAAAATCAATGACCCCCGGGGCGGGGCCAATTTTGACCCTAGGGCTTTTATTTGAACATACTTGGTAGACACCTATTAGAACATGTTTGATGCTAAATATCTTAGCTCTAGCTCTTTGAGTTCTTTAAAAGAAGATTTTTAAAGTTTTTACTATATACATATAGGGAAAATCAATGACCCCCTGGGGCGGGGCCAATTTTGACCCCAGGGCTTTTATTTGAACAAACTTGGTAGACACTCACTAGAAAATGTTTCATGCCAAATATCTAAGCTCTAGCACTTAGGGTTTTTTAAAAGAAGATATATAAAGTTTTTTCTTTCGGTTGCCATGGCAACCAGAGTTCTGCATGGAATTAAATTCTTTGAACAATTTTTAAAGGTGACCACCAAAGGAACATTCCTGTGAAGTTTGGATAAGATTGGCCAAGTGGTTTATGAGGAGATGTCATTTAAAGTAAAAGTTTACGGACGACGGACGGACGACGGACGGACGCCGGACGAAAAGCGATCACAAAAGCTCACCCTGTCACTTTGTGACAGGTGAGCTAAAAAGCTAAGTGTGCAATTTGTCAATAATAAAGTGAATAGATCTGTAGTAGAAGGTATTTCAAAGAATGAATAATTATGTTGATAGTATTTCGTATCAGACAATGCAGATTCTAGGACATTTGCCCTCCGGATAGTTGCCCCCCTTTTGCTGTTGTAACTTGTCATTTGTCATCTCGTGAATAGATTTTTTGTATGCCAATGAAAATATTGAAGTATATTTATTTATGGATGCTATTTTGACTTTCACAATTTTGCATGAGAGTTTTTATGTATTTAAGCACAATGAAATTTCAACAATAGGCGACAAATTTTGATAGCAAACAGTTAAACAATAAAATAGTTTAACATTTTTAAAACAGGGAGGGTTGGCAAATGTCCGCCCCTTCCAATGATATGAGGGGCAAAGATCTGCCACTGCAAAAAGCGGGCAAACTTCCGAGGGAGCAACTGTCCGAAGGGCAATGTCCGAATACCCAGCAGACCACAAAAGACTTAATATGTATATTGGTGGCAAGTGTGAGATATATGACCCGACACTATATTTTATATTATATGTTAATAAATAAGTGATTTGATATTGGCCCTGTTATTTGTCAGAGGGCAGTCGTATTGGCCCAAGGCCGAAGGCCGAGGGCCAATACGACTGACCCGAGGACAAATAACAGGGCCAATATCAATTCACTTATTTATTGACAATTTTATTAAATAACTACATGTACTTATAATATTTCACATTTAATCCTCAGACATTTCTTCTTATTTTAATTCTAACATATTTTAATTATAACAAAGAACAACTGTAAAAATAACTACATTATATCATTTTGTATGGAAAACCTACATTTTGTAACTTATATTGTACATGTACAACAAAAATGTCAGACTGTGAATGTTTAGAAACTGAGAATATTTTTTCATTTATGCAACCTATCGGCGTCTACACATAGACAGAGTAAAAACAAAATGGCTGCCATTTCCCAGTTTCTTGCAGAAATCTATATCATTTTTTTGGCCCTGCTTTATTAGCCAATCAAATTACTTCAAATGCGGGCTTTATATCTATATCACTTTTCGGCCCGGGGCCGAAAAGGTGATATAGATATTGGCCCTGTTTTAAGGCAGGCCGGCCATCGTGTTATTGAACGTGGCAGGTGCTTTTTTATAGGACTAATAATGTATAGTTATTTAATAAAGCAGATTATAAAATGTTCTAGAATAAAATATGATTGTTCATCATAAATCTTTTATACTAAATCACTTATAACTTTATTAACAATTTTAAAATCGTAATAAGTATGCTGTGATTACTGCTACATATGTATATAGTTTCATTGATATGAACTTAAACAGTTGAATGGTCCATTTTGTTATATTATGAAATTAATGACAGAAGAATCACTTTTATTACTATTACTTTGAAAAATGACGCGATTAAATAAATATTAAATGTGTCCTTACTTTGATATATCCATTTTTTATTCAAAATTTAATTTAGGGATGCTGGAATAATTGCTTAGTGCATTCAATAAACATTAATTTGTCCCGATTTTGTAAGACTTGAACATTATGACAATCATTTACATTTTATTTCAATTCTTAATTTTTGATTGCATTTCATGATTTCTTTGTCTGCGCATTGGCAGGTCTATTTTTTCACGTGTATTTCATGACCGGGTCTGTCTGACTAGAACAGACCTGTGCACGTGCAAAAGATAGACCTCATAACAGACTTTCTTTTGTTTAAACAGGTCTATCCAAAAAACTGTCACAAACAATAGAAGAGGTGTGCAATGCAGGTGCTTAACCAATGACAGCGTCCGATACTGAATGAGTGACATACGGTATCATTTTTTTTTGGGACATGTAACCCCACCTTGAGTTTGTTGTCGGCATTGGGTCTTTGAAGTTGATAAGATTAGTAGGGAAATGATGCAGATGAAAAAATAATGATCAGGCAATAGAAACTCAAAGAATCGCAGATTAGCAATGGTTGAAAATATTATTTTTTATACTATGTATTTCTTATTATGTAAATGTGATCTGTGTTGTTGCAAAAATAAAATAAACTAGCTTTGTCTCACGGTAACAAACAACACTGAGGAAGGATTGAAAGAGGTACAAATCCGTTTCAATCAGATAGATAATAAATAATACCTGTTTTAACCTTTTCCCTTATATAAGCGTGTTTCGACGGCGTTTGGGGGGTTTGAAGGGGGGCGGAGTCCCCCTCATCGCCAAGAAAATTTTGGACATGTGACCGGCTAAAAATGGCCTCAGGTCGATCGCAGAAAAGCCTTTTACTCTATCTCAATTCATTGAGAAGTTGTCGCACTTTGAAATCAGTTTTGATGGAAAAAAACAATGCAAAATAGTGATTTTTGGCAATTTTGAGACGTCCCCCCCGTTGCCATGGTAACAGGAAATTTACCATTGAGCATGCTGTTACAGAGGCTATGATGTAGTCAACATTTGTGCCAAGTTTCATTAGTATTGAAGCATTTTTTCATAGTTTCATAGCAGTTTGAACTTGTTACAGGAGGCTTTTCAATGAAAACGGCCATTTTTGGCAATATGCTCATGGGGTAAAAGGTTAACACCCAAAGGGCCAAAATAATTAAGTCCAATTCAGTACACTCCAAACAACCTGTATACAACCCTTCATCAATTACACAGTTTACATGTATACAGGTATCAAGTGACGTACGTAGTGTCTAGACTCCCTACTGCCATATATGGTAAGCATGATGCAATCGATGTGTGGTGTGAAGTACATAATGGCCTGAGTAAACTGGATTAAGATTTGTGTCAGATTTTTTTTTACTGTTTATGGAGTGCCAACGGAAAATTTTTAAGGCAGCATTTTTTTATTTCACCTTTCTATGGCTACAAAAATTCTCTGTGAAAATGTTGATACCTTTCATTTAAAGAGAAAAAACTTTGGCTGTTAAAGTATATTTATTTTAAAGATTTTGAATGCATCAAATTCAAGTTTATTTGTACTAAAATGATTCAATATATATCTGATATAAAAATAAAAATGTATTTTATATGATATACATGCAATTAATTATATTTGTTATGATATTACAGGGATTCTTATTTTATTTACATCAAATATTTAAGTACCTATGTTTATTTGCAATTGTTTACATATTATTCCTTCACACAGTTATGTATGTTAAAACTTGAAAATATCAAATGATCTTGTAGAAATGTTCATTTTCATAATAAAATGGGGGAGCATATAAAACAAATTTCCTAATTTCCTTGAACAAATTTTTTGAAGAAAATCCTTTAGGGAGTATTGGGGTTACAGAGCAGAGACAATGGAGACAGACAGACGTACTGACTGACAAACTGATCCAACACATTTATTCCAATATATCCCCTTTATTATAATATTATATTATATTTAATTTTATAAAATAGGCACACAATCTTTTTTAAACAAATGTTACTAATATCAAATTGTGTGTTTATAATAAAACTGCAAGAACTTGATCTTCATACCAATTAATCTATGACATTGGTGTACTACATATATAAATATTACCGTTCTATTCTGTATAAAAATACAGTTGCTGCTTCAAATTTAGAGCTGTAAAAGTTTAAGCGAGGGTTTTTTGATGTGAAAAGTACAAAACTAACAGAACAGATACTAAATTATGGCCGGCCTGATCATGTAACCTCAGGTCAAGTTAAAATTATCAGTCAAACATCCAGAGTTGATCCTCACTCCCAGATATGTGAGTGTACTGTCACCAAAAAAAAACCCTTATTTAATAAAATCAAAACATTTGAAAGTTTTGCAATAATCCTAGATTATTAAATGAAATTGTTAAAATTTTAATATAATATATTTTTTACCTGAGGCCCTGTCATTCTGTCTTTCTTTTCCTTTGATTTGCGAATTTTCTCCTCTTGCTGTGATTTTTTAGTCTTCAGTTCTATACAGATTGTATTAAGTCAAAGCATACATCAATTTTTATATAACATCATGTTTAATTATAACATCTGAATATTACATATACATGACCTTAAAGTTAAATAGTACTACATATTACTCAAACATTTCGAAAGTTTCAAATATTTCAATAAAAATATTCAAAACTCAATAAGACAAATAACATTAAATGTTTTCACTTGGTAAAACATGTACCGGTAATAATACATAATTATGCATTCTTTATCATAATTTATATTATCCTGAAAACCAACACAAAAATAACATGAACTAATAAGTTAAATAAAACAGACGATATAATTATATCCTAAAGACACACATACTAAATTAATTAAATAAAAGTATTGACTTGAAAAGGGCAAACAAGTTTCAAGTTTTCATTTAATTCCATGTTTCATTCATTGATGAAAATATTAATTGACTGGCAACTAAATCATTTTGACACCATAGTTTATTTGTAGTGCCAGCAGACTTTAATAACTATCACTAACTTTTAATAGGTTTGCCTTGCTTTTAGCAGGTTTGTCTTAATTTTAATTGGTTCGCTTTACTTTTAGTAGGTTGGCCTTGCTTTTAATTTGGAACAGTTCTTTTAAAGGTAAGGGGTTCTCATATCATAATACAAAAATTGCACTACCAACAGTATTTGTCTGGTTAAGCCATAAAGATGTGCAGATTGGCCTTATTCTATACAAATGGCAAAGGGTAATATCTTTGCATGTCTGCAAGTTTCATTTAGAAGATACAATGACCTGACTTAACCTGATACCCAACGTACATTACATTGACACCTGTCTAACTTGTCCAAGAATCTCTTTAAGCTGAAAATGTGGAAGCTGCAGTTGCCAAATATCTATAATAATTTTTCTATGCCCCAATCAGGGCTTGTACCCATAACCTAACACACTAATGGCCGAAGACCTTGGCCATGTCGCTGAAGTCCAATAATGAAAGTTTCCTGATATTAAACTGTTTCATTGTCCTGGTAAATCTTTGATAACAATAGAAATCATTGTCACATTACTTTAAAAAAAGTCAAATAACAATAAGCAGACATTATATAAATATATGAATATAAAAGATTATGAATGAAAATGTGTTAATTTTAGGACTATAATAACTATAAGTCATTTTGGAAAAAAAGAAAGAAAGTATACTGAGCAAGTGTTTCAACTAGACTAAGTTCCAAGGAATAACCAGAATTTTGCTAATATATACTGTTATAATATAGTTTTAGTATGGACAAATTAGTGAAATTAATTATGCATACAATAGTATAAACAAATCAAATTTATGATTTAATTATCTTAAATATTATTCAGTTGATTTACCCAACCCCCAGAATAAAAAAAAAAATAAGTTTAATGCCTTGTGAGTCCTCCAAGATTTAGTGATAACTTGTATATTTGATTGCACTTGAAGACAATGAAAAGTCTCATGAATAATTGGTAAAACTGTGTAACTAACTAAATGTCATGAACATTTTATGTGAACATACATATAACTGGATTGTTCCTGATGTTCTCATGGGCAATTACAAAACATTGAAATTTTTGTTAAGGAGGTGGGTTGTGTCAATCAAATACACAGTACGGTCATGTGAACAAATTTACAAATAATCATTATAGTTTTTGTAGTCAGATTTTACAAAAAAAAAAAAAAAACACCTCAAAAGTCTAGTTGAACTTTACTGAGTATAAAAGCAATTGAACAGCAAGCAGAGAAAATAAAGAGTTAAAACAGTGTACATAAAGAGTTAAAACAGTGTACATAACTTGGTAGTGATAGCCAGTCATTTCCCCCCATGCTATTACTATAAGTGAAAGATATTATATGATGTTAACTTGCTTTCATTTCATAATCTATTATCTGTTGTCAACACTGGCTCGCTTACAAATAATAACTGCTGTATGGGGTTTTTCCCACTTTGATTTCAAAGAATTTATTGTAAGTGAAAAAAACTTTAACATAAACAAGAGCTTTCGATAGGACATCATGCTTGACTATTCTCTAATATAAAAAAAAATTAAGTTAAAAAAGGACCATAATTCTGTTAAAATCCATGTTAAAATCCATGTTAGAGTGACCTCCTTTTATGCTCTCAAATAAGTGTGTCATAAGTAAAGTTTCAACAAATTCTTTTAGTAGTTTTTGAGATACCAACTTGCATGCAAACCTTAACCAAAGTGCAAACCTTAAACAAACTGTGAGGCCAATGTCTCAGTGTATAATAGCTCTCCTTATTCTAAGAATAGTGAAGCTAAAAATTCAAAACTTGAGCAGTCAACAGTATAGTGACTTGTCAAGACTTATCAGACTACAATGTGGTTTTAATTGCATACAATTTATATTACTAAGGCTTAGACTACCTTATAACTTTATGACTAACATTGAAGCAGATAGAATAACTTCTCTTTCTAAATTAATTTAAAATAAAACGAATAAAGAAGTACTTTCTTTTGTGTTTATGGAATGTTTATTATATTTTTGCTTACACCTAAATCTTATTTTTCTAGAAACTTGAAACATAAAATCTTATAGTTTAAAAAAACAGTTTCACTGTAAATATTACTATTATTTCATCAAAATAGAAAATATTTTGACAGCAGAATACTAAAATATTGTATTCCTGTTTTTATTCATTTCTTAAAAAACCTTTTTGTCGGATGATAAGATAGGATTTCTGTGGGTTTTTTTTTCTAATAAATCTTTGTAGAACTTGCCTCATCACATTTTGCCCAATTTTTTATCAATGACACGAGTGAAAGCAAGTTAACCATCAAAGAAAGGATATATCAATAAGAAAAGTAATAAACATGGGGTGCTAGTGATTCATTGAGAGATATATACTTCTACAGACCATTTAACAACAGATCTTTTTCTTTTTTCAAATAAATATAACTTCATTTTATCACATACACGTGTCACTTTTACGACTTCATATAAATGGTATTGCACAGCCGTGCATATATTTTGATGTGACGTCTTTTACATTATACAATAAACAATGCGTTAAGACGAGCTTAATGTTAGCGTTATACTATAGGCGTGTCAATGAAAAATAGTTCTTTTTTCACTTCAAGCGGTGTTTATTTTTGGTATGTGATAAATAAAATATTAAATTTGTGTAAGTTCATTACTAAATTTATTGAACTTGCTGAATACAATAATATTAAGCTCATCAGAGGCTCGCATAGTATGATTCTATTCAACTCATTCAATAAATTCACTATTAAACTTGCACTCATTTATTATCCTCTATGCAACTTATTTTAAAAATGTCATTTTTTTAAAATCGTGCTCTTAAAAATCTTAAAAAACTGGAAAATTTTCAACATGTCAAACCTGCAAACTTCATTCAATAAGAAAATCAAAATCAGTTGTTAAATGGTCTCTTCAAAGATCAAAATGCCCCTCAGATTTCTTTATCTTTTAAGCTAAATCAAAATGCATCAATACTTGCAAAGAAATTCATACAGACTATACACAAATATATATTCTGAGTTTCAGACTCATTTTTATAATCACAATTTATATGGCTCTTAATACACTGAAAGGAAAATTCGACAGATTTTTGTTAATTTTCATTTTAACCCTTTTACTTAAAAAGTAAACTTTAGGATATATCATGATATTTTGACATGTTATGGATATATGACAGACTTTTGTAGATTGTTAGTGCCTTAGACGAACAATGATCATTTCATTATTTCATTCGAATATTTTAAGATTTTTAACTTTTCAGACTCTAAATTTTGGTAAACTATAGCATAATCCTAGGGACATACACTTGAGCAATAAATATGCATTTTGAATTGCTGACTTGAATCTCCATATTCATAACAATTCTAGTTACTAGTAAAGAACATAATCAACAAAAACATAACATTCTAGAAAAATGAGAGGCATTTTTGACACTACAAAGATAGGAGGAACTATTTTATGTATCCAGACAGGTACATATTTTGTGCATCACTACACCAGTGTGGAATAAGATAAAGTTCAACAAGTGCAGTGTGAAATGACTGGTACCACACCTACCAACTATGCTTTTCTTCTGGGCATCATAAGCCTCAGTTCGCTCTTCAAACCGTTTTTCTAAATCCTCGAAACCAGGCGTGAAATCATCAATCTTCTGATTTTTCTCAGCTATGTTATTTTCCATTTCTATCACTTCTCTCTGTAAACATATTATTAGATCCATATCATATATATTTAATGAAATGATATTGACTTTCAAAAATGATATTGACTTTCAAAAAATGATACTGGCTTTCAAAAATGATATTGACTTTCAAAAATGATATTGACTTTCAAAAAACGATACTGGCTTTCAAAAATGATATTGACTTTTAAAAATGTTATTGACTTTCAAAAAACGATACTGGCTTTCAAAAATGTTATTGACTTTCAAAAAAATTGACTTTCAAAATGACAATGACTTTCAGAATTGACTTTCAGAAAAGAAATTTACTTTCAAAAATGATACATGTAATGACTTTTAAAATGATACTGACTTACAAAAATATTAGCTTTCAAAAAATGATATTGACCACAGGAACTTGAAATTCTATCAATATTAATGATAATATCCAAAATATACCCCCTATACTGTATAGGGGGTATATTTTGGATACTATCATTAATATTGATAGAATTTCAAGTTCCTGTGTATTGACTTTTATAAATGAAATCGACTTTCAAAAATGATATTGGTTTTCAAAAATGATATTGGCTTTTAAAAAATGATATTAGCTTTCAAAAAAATAATATTGGTTTCCCATGTTGTTTCTGTATTTATCATCAAAATTGTTTGAATAAAGTGTCAGTGAAATATGTGGCTGTGTCAGTTTTTGTAATGACATATTAAATGAAATACTTTCATTCAGTTTTGTTCTTCTTTGTTTGAGAAGATAGATTGACTTGAGGATGAATTCAAATTTTGATGATAAATTTATGACATTCTGCCATTTGAAAAAATTGACAGAATATCTATAAAGAAAACAACTGACTAAACTATGATTAAAACAGCATTACATATATCTTACATACCTCCATTGAATCCACTTCATTTTGGCGCTTAGTAAAAGACTTTTGATACTTCTCTTGTTCTTTTTCAAGTTGATCTTCTAAATCTTTAATCTCATCATCATCTGCACGTAATTCTCTCTGTAACTGGGCCCCCTGTCAAGCATATGTGAAACTTGGTTTAATAAACAGATCATTAAATAACTTAGAAACTGTTGTGCATATATAAAACATGAGTGACTCAAGGTGACTAGGCTCTCGTGACATATAAGAAACATGATAGATTTAATGGCTCATCTTATTAATGAGGCCCCTGCAAGGCATGCATAAAACACAATATATTAAATGTGGCCCCTGTAAGTCATATATAAAACATAACAAAACAAATTATTAATATTGAACAGTCTCTTGTGTTAATGTAACATAATAAATCCATTGGCAGTATAAATGGCTCATTTAAATCTAAAATTTGGTCCCTAGTCATGCATACAAAATTATTTTCTGGAGAAATATATGAATATACAGTTTTTACTATACATGTTTTTCCTCAAAATACAGTATAATAATATGAAGAAAAACAATTCTTATGAACTCTCAAATACACAAAAAATTATATAACTGCTCAGTGCCTGAAATCAACAGCATTATTTATTTAAATAAGAGATTTAAGTTATAAATATAATACTTATGTCTTAAGAGTATCAAAACCAAGGGGAGCTAAACCTTAAAAGATCTTTAAAAACTGATGTTGTAAACATATTTAAAGATCCTGTATCTTGTTATTCAGGTTTTTTACCACACTTAAGTGAAATTTTATATATGAATATAAATATGCTTCTAAAACAATTTTCAAACATCAAAGAATATGTAAAATATGTACTGCAAATATTTGTCCTCATTATATGTTATCATTAAAATATATGCATTCATTTCTAATTGAAAAATCACCTCCCTTTATTTACATGAAAATGTAAATTCGGTAATATCTTTACAAATAATGCTTTTTGGAACTTACGATATTGATAAATCTTCATTTGAGCATTTACATTTATTATAAAAAGTCCATAAAAAATTGAGTCACAGGATCTTTAATAGCACTTAATTCTATCTTTAATCCATCAAAATAATCAATCATTTAAATACTGATAAAGTGTAATAAAAAAATCTGCATACAGATATATTTGAAAATTTAATGAAAATGTCCATATAAAAATATCAAATATTAAATCACACATCAAATAAAAAACCATCTCCTTTTTTATTATTGTTCTCTTTACAAAACAACACAATGTTAGGTATAAAAAGTTATCAGTATCATTCAGATAAAAGGGAAAACTAATATCTAAACCTTAAAACGCAAAAAGCTGACAAAACAAGTTTACATATTCGTCTAGTGTACACCAAATAATACAAAATACACCTGTTACAAAAGCTAAAGGGTCCTTACTTTTGCATATTGCACAGATATGCTTTTTTTACCTCTGACCTTGAGGTGTGACCTTGACATTTGAACTACTGACCTAGTTAAAGCACTTATCACTACTTCTCATGAAGGCGAACATTTGCATAGAGTAATACTAAATTCCCATCATGCAGAAGATAATCATGCTCCGGATAAAATCATCTCCAGTGACCTTGACATTTGTAAGAATTGACTTGATTTACTTGGAAAATGCTCAGTCACATGGTGGTAAACATTTGTACGAAAGACCGGTGGGGACATTTCAACTTCATGAATTCCTGATTTCAGCTTCATGAATTCTCGATTTCAACTTCTAGAATTCACGATTGTGAATTCATGAAGATGAAATCGGGAATTCATGAAGTTGAAATGGCCCTACCAGTCTTTCGTACATTTGTGATAGAATCCCTCAGTTCATGATGTCTAAATGGTCTGTAGAAAGGACATCTACATGTGACCTTTATATTGGCCACATAAATTTGAATTTAGTGTGAAACACTCTGCCTCCCAATGAGCATTATATGTGCCAAGTTTAAACTCAAATTTTTTAATGTAGGCTTTTTCTCTGCCTTCTATGTCAGGTTGCTGTGGACAAAACTTGATGCTGCAAACCCACCAGCCATATGGGTTCCCATTTTAAAAGCCATTTGAATATTAAAGCATTATTGAAAATAACTAAAATATTTTCACATCTGTAAAAAAGCCTGACAATACAAGTTTACACTTTGATCTATATTTCACATACAAGTAAAGTCAACCTTACATTGAGCTTCCAACCTTACCCATACCTCTAGTTCATCATACTCAGAGCTAGTATCTTCACTTTCCTCCTCCTATCATATATAAAGCTTTATCAACATTCATTTACATTTTCTTAGTAAAAGAACTACACTCTAGAAAAAGTAATTAATAAACTCTGAAGTTTTGTTATACAAAAACAAAACAATGATGTTTCTTGCATGTAGTAATATTTTAAGTAAAACTTGAATTATCAAATATTTTTATTTTGTCATTTTGCAGTCATATGCAATAAGTATAAAAGTAACAATAACATTCTTTCTTAAGACTTATTAAATGAGTTAAATGTCATAAATATGATATTACATTCTGTAACCAGGTAACCATGGCATAGATATTTAGCAATATGAATTTCTCATTTACAGTGACATTGTATACATATTTCTACTTCTTAAATACAGAACAAATTGTAAAATTGTAAAAAAGACCTATTCATTTTAAAAATGTCACAAAAACAAGATAAATTTAGTATAAAATCTACACTCATTCAATATCCTCTATGTACATGTTTACTCATTTAAGAGTAATAATAATAACAACTTAATTCAAATGCAACGTTCTTTCAAAACACAAAAATTGCGACATTGACTTTAGAATTAGAAACTTTGATGTAACTTATGTTCTATTCAATAAACTACAGCAGGATTGAACTGACCTCTTGACCTTACAAAAAATTATTTTTCACAAGAACATTTACATTACTATAACAATCCTTAATATTGTTATGTTCATTTTATTTTATTATCCAAATTAACACAAATTTACATGCATGTTAATTACCTTCACACTGAAATCACAAACAGAAATTACAAAACACAGATAATTCCTCAAGATGACCCTTTTTTTGTACATAAATAAAATTGGAATACAGATAATGGCAGGCCACTGCTATAATTGCCAGACCAGCTTGCACATCTTCTAGGTTTGTTACTTTATACTGCTGCTCAAAGTTTGTATTTTGATTTTGAATTCTGTTTCATTAAACAATGGATAGTTCCATATTCTATGACAGGAATACCTATCCCATTACACAAATTTAACAACAATAAATGTTAACAGCATATAAATGAGTTAGCAATTTGGAAGATAACTTGAAGTATATTTATTCTATGTACAGAATACAATAAGTTGTCAGTCCAAGAAATTATTGAATATAATATGTTAGCTGGACTATCTATAATTATGATAAAATTATTCCTATAATCACAGAAAATTTAAGCACAGTCAGTGTAAAGTAATATTGTTACTTAAGTGTATTAAAAGATGTATTTTATTTTTTGTTTTAGACACAAGTTTTCTTTTTTTAGACATGAAAATTAAAAGATACATGCAGCTGTCAGAATTCAATACCTACCACTTCTTCTAACTCATGTAGTGTTCTCATCTGAATAATTGTAGGATTTGATGAGTTACAGTTAATTAACTTTTTTTAATGTCATTAACTAAGCCTTAAGTCCGGTAAACAGAACAGAACATATACTATATTTCTGACTTGGGCTCACTGACATTTAATAATAAGGCTAACCAAATTTCTACATAGTAAGATAAAGGTAAAGTGTTATTAAAAATGTTTACAGTTCATTAACTGAGGGTGATTTGTTACTAACACTATTTCCAAGTAACGAACTGGTGGTAAACTGTTAATAAAAATTGTTTCCAAGTCACAGACTGTAGGAAAATTGTTATTCAACATAATTTTCAAAATCATGATTTGAGAACAGATTGCTATTACCAGAATGTTTCTTAAGTCATAAAATGAAGTTGAATTGTTATTAACATTGCTTCCAAATCATAAACTTAAGGTAAATTGTTTTAACATTGCCTCCAAATCATAAACTGAGGGTGATTTACTGAATTGTTATTAACATTGTTTCCAAATCATAAACTTAAGGTAAATTGTTTTAACATTGCCTCCAAATCATAAACTGAGGGTGATTTACTGAATTGTTATTAACATTGTTTCCAAATCATAAACTGAAGGTAAATTGTTTTAACATTGCCTCCAAATCATAAACTGAGGGTGATTCACTGAATTGTTATTAACATTGTTTCCAAATCATAAACTGAAGGTAAATTGTTTTAACATTGCCTCCAAATCATAAACTGAGGGTGATTCACTGAATTGTTATTAACATTGTTTCCAAATCATAAACTGAAGGTAGATTGTAATTAACATTAATTTTCAAGTCTTAACAGAGGATGAACATGCTTTCCCTAAATTGAAATAAAAGCTATTATATTATACAATAAACTAACACAGAAAATATACCAATATGTCATTTGAAGGCTATCAATTTGTTCATGGGATTTATCATCACTTGGTCAAGTGTTAACCATATAAAATAGTTACACCATTCAATATTAAGAGTTTGTTACTTAAGTGTTGAATTTTAGATAAAAAAGGTTAACTGATTTGCATGATTGACTACAATCTAAAGGATTGATATTTTGTCATTTATGAGGGATTAAACTAATAGTAAGTTTAACAAAATAGCTAGCAAAGGTGTTTAACATAGTATGCAAAGAGAAACTGGATCTAAGAACCATATAAAATGTTGTACAAATGCATTTATAAAACTAGTAACAAAACTGAATGCTAAACAATATTGACTGCATTAGATACTCTTCATCCTATACAAACTAATCTAGTAGATGTGTAAAGTTGTAACTACTATATACAGGTGCTAAGTGCTATATACATGTATTGGCATTTTAACTATGACCTACATGTCTCATTATCCATATAATATGTATATTTTTTAACCAATTAACCTGCTGGAACTGAAAATAATTTGCCATTGCCACCAGTATAGAGCCATGTCATTCTAACCAGACTCTAGACTGTTTAAAATTCAGGTAAGGCCAATCCATTATGCAAATCCTGCAGGTAAAGGGTCAAAAGAGTTATCATTACCTCATTAGAAAGTGTTATATGGTCCTGTTTTCCCTGTGTAATAGTGGTGTTCATCTCCTGCATAAATTTATGATTGTCTGCCTTGTAATCCTCTAGTTCTTTAGAAACAGAATTCTTCCTCTGTTGTACCTCAAGCCTATAGTTTATAGTACAATTAGTATTTTATATATTCCTACAATCTTTTTGGTATTTGGCACATCATTTTGCATAATAAATTTGTCACATAAACGACAGAAGTGTAATAAAATCATTTAATAACTAGATGCCCAAGGGCAACTTGTCGAGCCCGCTGTCACATCTGACCTTGAACTTTGACCTAGCAACACTGTTCTTGCATGTTACACGACATCTCAGGATGTTGAACATTTCTGCCAGGTTATTTGAAATTACACCAGCTAGTGAGAGAGTTATGGTGTGGAAAACCTGTTTGAGACCATCTTTTTTACATTTGACTCTTAAAGTATGACATTGACGTTTGACATAACCACATGAATCTTGTGAATGACACACCCTCTTATTATTGTAAACGTTTGTGCTAACTTATTTAGGACAATAAAATGGATCAAAAACCAACACAAATTTAAATATCAAAACATGTTTTGCTTTATTTAGCTTCCTCAGTTGATACATAAGTTATTTGAAATTCTGCTTAATAATGACAGAGTTAATGACCCTGACAAGCATTATCCGGAAGAAGGTTTGTCTAAAACGCAGAAGTTTTCACTAAAAATGTCATAATTTGCTTGTATCATTCATGTATCATACCTTTCTTTCCTCTCCTTGGCCAGCTGCTCCCTGTACTCTTCCACTTGTTTATTCAGCTGAGCCATTACAGCCCTGAAAAATAAAACAATTTAATAAAAGATCAAAAGTTCGGCCAACTTAAATTAAACTTAAATTGTGATAAACTTTTGAAATTAGGTCCACATTAAATGTAAATACATTATAGCAGGCTCAAAGTGTGCTAAATTTAAATGAAAATTCACTGACATTAATGAGTATATAATTGAGCATATATCATTATTTTAAAAAAAGGGTCCTCAGATGTGAATCAGACATAGAAAAAATACTAGTAAACAAATTTTTACACAGAAAAAAGAAAAGTAGGAAAACTTATTAGTTCAATTTTTTGGGTTACAGTGTAACAATTTGTAATTTAATTAATTACAAAGCTATAATAATATTCTGACTAATTATAATTTACACCCAATCTATGTTATTACACTGACAATATACTATAGAAAAACGCACAATAATAATTTCTCTAAGAAAATTGACATTAAAATATGATACATGTTTTAAAAACAGTTTTTAAAACTATTTCCGGCACAAGTAACATACATGAACCTTGTTTAAAAATTTATGCACCACTGGAAGTTACTAAAGAAGTAAAAGATTTTAATGCAAACAACAACAATTATGACTCATACACCTAAAACAACCAAAAAAATTATTTCAATAAAGCTTTTGCTGAAAAGCAAAGTATGAATATTTATGTTTGAGCATATTCAGCTATTGATGATGTTTTCAAAGCAAGGTAACACAAATATCACATGTAATGAAACTTTTTTTATCTTCATTTATCCTAAGCTTGTTATCCTAAACAATTGTTTTTTTTATGCTTGCCCATAATGTAATTTTTCAGAGGCAAGGGTAAACAAATCATAGCCATAACAAATGATTTTTTTTTTAATCTGGAAAAAGGGGGTAAAACTTTCAAAAAATATTCATCTTAGATATGTAGGCAAGCCAGTTCTATTATAGTTACACATATTTCACAGCATATCTTCTCATACACCTAATTCAAACACAATATTGATTGGTTAAATTTACACATTACATATACATATGTTATGACATATAATCACACAACTACACGTAGATTCTCACGCCCTCTCTTCATCATCCATTAGTTCTAGGGCGGCCTTTTGCTCCTCTGTTAAACCCGGTGGTGAGGGAGATCGAATACTTGCACGATGTTTTAATTCATTCTCCAGTCCCCTATTTTATTTTACCATTGAAATAAAAGTTAAATTTGGTATGTGACATGTATTTGTCTATTTTTTGCAAACTTGCCACATAAAAACATAGAAATAATTTAATAGAAATACGGTAACTGAAGTGGAGGTCTACTAAATTTAGATTTATTTTTCAAACAGTGAGCATACTGATTTGAACCAAGCTAAATCAAGGGTGAATAAAAGGGAGAAATAAAAAGAAAAATAAATATGAATGTGCTTTGTTCCCTAATTGGTAAAGCAAGTTTACTCAGCTTAAAAAAAACATAATGATAATCTCTTAAACAGGATCTGCCCACAGGCCGTGTGCTCCACTTTTCTCAATGCTGAATAGTAAATAAGCAACAAGGAAAAAGTGGATAATTTTGAAAACATGCTTAGTAGACTTACCTGCCCTTGATAGTAAGCAAATATTTTGAATACCTTACGGTTATTGAGGAAAAATGCTAACATTCTAAGGGAAATAATTAAGCAAAGATTGCTTTCAGGATTATCTTCCCCTTAGAAATGCATTTCGAATTTGAAAGTGACCAAGTTTTCTCTTAGTTTAAAGTGAATATATATCTTTTTTTTTTTTTCATAAATGAATTTTTGTTTAATCAGTTCTTCTGCAATGTTGTCATATTCTGATAGTGAACATGTAAATCAGGTTTGATAGTTTCTCAGAAAATAGACTTGAACAAAAAAAAGGTTAAAAAGAGTTTTAAAATCTATGATAAAAAGGGCATAACTTGGCATAAAACATTTTTAGATTTATCTGCCTTTTTAAAATGTTGTTCTTTTACGATTATAAACAAGTAGACCAAGTTTGAAGTTTAACAGAACAAAAAGAGGTTAACCACACTGAAGCCAATGCCTTCAAATAGTGGATCTAAATAGACGTTACATTTAAGTTTTGAAGCATGCTAATGTATCATGTGTGCATAAAAGCTGTGCTTGATGCAGAAAAAAAAGAGCAGCAATGTTGTTTCACTGACATTGTTATGCAGAATTTTCTTGCCCTCACTTGATGCTCTATTATGATTTTGTAAACATAAATGTAAGAATATTGTGAAATTGCACTGTTGGTAAATCCCTGTACAATTAAGTCTTTTACTTATGTTAGAAGGCAGAGCTATGCTATGCATTTATCTTGTAACTTACTTATCTGTTTATAAATATAAAGCTAGAACTGTGTCCATAGAACTTCAATGCCCCCCATATCAAATTTTATTGTCAGTCCATGAATAGATAGCCAGACAGATATACCAGGTAGTGGAGGGACATAATAAAATACTTTTTTATATCTAAACTATGTAATGTGTATTTCTATTAGATATCAATTTTTAAATCGCTTTTAACAAATCTTTGCTTACTAATATTTGTCAATGTTTAACTTCAGCATAAATATATTTCATAGTAAATTTATATACATTAAAGTGAAGTGCAATATGAAATCAAATCTTGAAAAGGAGGTGAAAGGGGTGTGTTGTAAATAGCTTTAGAGAGGCTTACAAATCACCAGTGAGTACATCATATACATACTTGTGTGTTTCTCCAAGAGTTTCTATATCCTCTAACATTTTAGAGTTCTGGCCTTGCATTTCACCTACTTCCTCTGCCTTTGATGACAAGTTACGTTTCTCTGCTTGTAATCTGTAGTAAAAAAAATACACAATAAATATTGTTGAAATACAATTTGAATTAAGATCGTCTTACTGTAATGCTTTCCAGCCAAAAAAAATCCAACATCGGCCAATATCATAGCAAATCAGTTATTTCTGGAATGTTATTTTTTCAAAATCTTGGGCATTAGATTATTTTCAATCACTCATCCTTCATCACATATGTACTAAATTCCGTTTACAAAAAGTTAAAAACTATCAAATACTGAAGATTGTCGAAAATAACATCCCCGAAATGACCGAATTATTAAGATATTGGCCAATGTTAGAAATTTTTGGGAGGAAAGCATTGCAGTAAGACTACCTTAACTTCAGTAGGAAAATCATAAGAATGCATAGTTTTGTGTGTTTTAAAGAGATTAATATCAAAGAATTTAAATTGTGTAGCAAACAGTATAGTCTAATCAGACTGTGAACATGTTCACAATGATATAAATATAGCTCTATACTATTGGTATAGACCAATCATTTATTGCCTCTTGTATGTCTAGAGAATGAACCTATAAAAATACCCATGTCTACTGACCTCCACTTTATGAATTCAAACCCTTAGCATGATACAGGTGACTTATTTGGATAAATACAGCATGCACAAAGTCATTCTTTTTTAACCCTTTACCTGCTGAAATTTATGTAATGGATTCGTCTTTCTTTGACTTTGAAACAGTCTATTTTAAGTAGACGGGATTTCAATATCAAAATACAAAACAGTACAGAGCCTGGTCAGACTGCATGCAACCGCATGAAGGCCTGGCTCTATTACAAGTAGAGAAACTGATAGCGAACAGCATGGATCCTGATCAGACTGGTGGCAAAGATTAATCAAGACTAATCACTTTGGATTTCAGTAGGAAGGATCTAGCATCTAGTAGCATCTCTATCTTAGGTAATAAATATGAAGCAGTCATTCATATAATAATGCTTTAACATTGCTATAGTTTATATAAGTATTAGTTCATATAAGTATATCAATATGTGCTTTATCAATAATCAGCAAAAACTTCTAGAATCAGATTACAGGTTCAAACACTTACTGAGCATCAAGGGCTGCTACCCTCTCAGCATCATCACTCCTGACATCCATCATCTGTTCCAATTCTGAAACAGTAAATCATAGTCTATTTATAATGCATAAAATAGAAAGAAAATATGAGCCGCACCATGACAAAACCAACATAGTGCATCTGCGCAGTCTGATCAGGATCCATGCTGTTCTATATCAGTTTCTCTACTTGTAATAGGGTTGGTAAGCAAACAGCATGGATCCTGATCAGACTGCGCAGATGCGCAGGCTGGTCTGGATCCATGCTGGTCGCAAACGCACTATGTTGGTTTTGTGGTGATGCGGCTCAATTATGTACAACACTAAAGGAACTCGCCTGAGGTCCTAAAGCTTAAAAACATAAAATTTGAATTTCTTACACAGGTCAGCAAAAGCATCTTAAACAGAAATATAGAAAAAAAGATAATAAGGAAATATACTCAGGATTAAATTTAAAATTGTAGTTTTGTGATATTCTTAGCCAGATTTGAGTAAAATGTGTTGCAATCCTTTTTCAATTTTTGGTAAATTTTCACAATTTAGAATAATTATTCCAGAAAAACGAAATGAGTGATCTGAAATTATACACACAAGGTCTATAGAGTTTGGTGTTTGGTCTATAGACCTACTGGTACATCTATTATTGTCAAAAAATTATTTCCAGTTCCATCATGTTAAAAAATCCTCAATGGAGTCCCTTTGATTAACCCTTTCACTGCCATAGGGACGGCTTATGCAATCCCAGTTATTTTCGGCGTTTTTGCCATATGGACGGCCTTTTAGCCATTTCTCATAATAAATAAATAGTAATAATAATAATTAATAATAATAATAATAAAAATGATAATAAATATAAAGAAAATTATACCATCGACAATAATTATTATTATACTCACAGATTTGGAAACATATATAATTATTATAATAATAATAACAAATAATAATAATAATATTAATTAATAATATAGTAATTTCTTAGAAAACCCTCTGGCAAATAGGTAATCATTAAAACAATAACCCTCTGGCAGCGAAAGGGTTAATACGGCTGATTATGTTGAGTTATGGGTCAAAGATATAGATAATTTGACCTATGAAACAAGTCACAAGTTTCATAAAAATACTGTTCGAACTAAGTACATGTATTATGCTCAAAATAACACCAAAGCCAGCTTCATTATTCTTCAAATATCAAAGCTAACAATACAAGAAAATAAATACAGTATAGGAACAACTAAATATATTTATATACATGTATGAATCAAACACTTGAACTTTTTCTAAAAAAAAAGAAACAGTGAAGATTAAATGACAACTTTATTGTGCATATATACTTCAAGAGACAGGAATGTACTTTTAATGTAAAACTAGATTTTTTTTTATTGGAAAATTGAAACTTATACATGCAGAGCTCTGACAAAAAAGGGGGAAAAGCACTATAGAATGTAATTTTCAAAGTGTTTTAAAATAGTTAATACTTATTTCCCTTTTATTACATTCTTAGTTATGCTGGAATTGTGATAGTTTGGTGGAGTAAGATATCAAGCACATCCAGGCACTTGTGTATATTGTAAAGTGGCTAAAGTTATATTTTGTCTAATGAGAAAGAATTTCATTTTACAAATTCTGCAGTATATTTATTTCATTTGTCAAATTCTGCAGTATATTTAATTTATTTAATCCACAACAACTTGTAATTTTTTTAATATTCCCTATTAATTTTGTATCATATTGCTCTGCATATTAAAATTTCCCAACCCCAAAGAAAGTTATTTCTTTAAAGTCAGCTTTAAATTTTCTTTAAAAACTATCACTCTTTTCCCCTTTTTGACACAAGACTTTTTTAAATTTTATAAATGTTGAATAAAAAATACACCTTAATAATCATAAAAATTTCATAAAAAACTAAATAAAAAAAGTGTTTTTGGGGGCTTATGTTAAACCCAAACTTTACCTTCTGCAAAACCTTTCCCTTTCAAAGTCAATTTTCTTTTTTTTTACAATCTCTTTTTCCCCATTGATAAAGAAACAGTAATTTAATCATCTCTTTGTTATATAATATTTAATAAACAGTTTACACCCTTTTATTATATTTTAAATGTAAATATGTTCATTTCATTCAAAATAATAACAATTCTAATAGAAATATAATTTTCAAGAATCATAGTGACAGTGCAGTTTAGTATCACTTTTGTTAATATGCTATGATAAACAGACATGAACAAAAATAGTAACTGTTAATCGGAAAAGGTTTCAAATTTGCATTATTATTGCAGAGACAGTGTGAATCTAAAATGGCCTTAATGTTTGTATCATGTCATAAGAATACAAATTAACAGTTAAACTCATTCAAACTTTATGTAAATTAAAAGTTTACAGCAACAGAAATATTCTGATAATAACACAGAAGTCTGATATATATGAAGTACAGATATAAAGTAGAATCCTACCCTTTTTAGTTTACTTGTTAGTTGTTTCTCATTTTCTATAAATTCTTTCTGTAATCTAGCATCTTCAGCTAAAATTGAAGCTCTGAAATTGAAAGGAAATAGGTTCACAGTATACTTTTGAAAAATTTTATTCTTATTTGGTATTAAGTATTTATGGTTTGTAGGTAATCAATTGCTAAAATAAGTCAGGCTTAAACTTTGTCACTGTTAATTTATTGAATTTCAAAAATATTAAAATGTTTAACATTAACACTTACTCTTTTGGAAATAAAACTGATTACTGCCTTTGCCAGCTGTAAAGATTGTTAGCCTACACATCTGCACAGTCAGACCAGGGTCTGAGGCTATGAAGAAATTTTCTAAGCTGAAACTCAAATCTCAAGTATTTGATTGGTCCAAAGTTTGCAAAGAGTTGTACATGAAATAATAATCCTGATATTTGAGAGACAGCTTAGAAAAATATTTTATAACCTCCAGCCCTAGGCTCCATACTGCTGACTTACTAACATAAAACCATCATCTTGATACCACCAAAGTGATAATGGACAGTTCCAAAAAATGGAAGCTGGATACATCTTCTTCAAAAGTTATAAAACTTTTATTCCGAGTTCTGTCTCAAATCTTAGGATTTTCATTGGTTATTGTACATTCTCTGGCAGTTTCTGACCAATCAAATACCTGAGATCAGAGTTTTACCTGGGAATAATAATAACTGTCATATGTTGCGGAGGGATGGATATTCTGATCCAAACCGCAAACATATGTCAGATATTTTTTCTTGCATATTCTGCCATTAATTTCTTATGTTTGAAATATTTTACCTCAATTAGATATTTGTTCATGGAAATTCAAGTCATTTCGTCCATAACTATTTTCTTACAATAGCGTATGAATTTACAACTTAATAACAACGGTGAAATGATGTCATCCTAAGCACATAGTTCCCTTCTAAAATGACATCATTTTAACCCGGTTCATTCATAAAATGCGCTAAAATGATGTTGTTGTATGACACGCAACTCATCTGGCACCCCCATGCCAGATGAAAATGCCGGCATGGGTAAAACTCATAGAAACGCCAGTCTGCTATGCAAGAAAATTTCTTTATTACCTCGGACCCTAGTTAAGGGTTTAAGCAGACTAGAGTGAAGATTTCTGGTCAGACTATTGTTAGAATATAACAGTTAATACTTATTATTATGGATAACAATTAAAGTATTTAGTAAATACCCTTTCTGTCTTAATTCTTCATTTTGTTTGAGTTGTTTCTGTAACTGAGCAGTCAAAGCTCTTTCCTGACCTTCAAGCTTGGCCTTTGATGTCTCAAATCTACGTAAACTCTGTAATGTATAATGCTCAAAAATTATATACATGTACAGGAACAGCTGTAACACTTTTATCTTGTTGATTTAGGGGGAAAATGTTTATTAAGTTTGGATCATTTCTATAAGCTGATAATGAAAAGTTGTTTATTGCAGGAGGTAGACTTTCATGTATTTTAAAGGACTTCACTTTTGTGTTGTAATAAAAAATATATATTTAGAAAATAAAACTTAAACCTTTATCAGTTTAAATTAAAATTTAGCAATAAATAGGCAATAGAAGCTGATAATATCAGAGGATTCATTCATTTCAATAATATTATAAATGCCACATCACTTTGGGTCTGTCAGCAATAATTTAAAGATCTTTGTGAATCAAAATCTAATACTTTTATGTTCTAAATATTTATTTACTAAGCTATTTACCTTTCTCAAGGCATCAAGTTTTCCTTCACTATCTACTAACTTTTCATGCAATGCATCCAAATCTCTGTAAAAAAAAGTACAGCGGATATGGTCATGCAAATCAATAATATGACAAATGCAACTATTGCAGCATATTATAGTTATATATTTCATTAAACAAATAAAGAATATATTTGAATAAAAAATTTATCCTCCATTCAACAGCCACCTGTCTTAAGCAGCCAAAATGGCTGCATCCCTTGGCTGACTGATTTAGACAGCTTTGACTGTACATGACTCTATGGTCTACGGATCACAAAGACTTCCAATCTTATGGTCAACACTTTTCAGCATCTGAATCCCAAAGAATGATATACTGCTAGCTCAAAGTAGGTGGCTTTTCTAAAGTGCCCACATAGTGCATTGTCAGGTGTACTGTGTAATAAGGTAAGAATGTCATGTTTAATCTTCCACAACTAGTAAAGCTATTCACTTGCCACAGTCATAATCTTGTACCATCAGTTAAAATAAAATTTTTAAAAAATTACATTACTTAAATGTGTTTTCTAATCAAAATCTATATAAGCAAAGAGATCCATCGGATGGGTTCATTTTTCACCCTAGAGACATGATTATAAATAATTACAAAGTATTTAACTTATAAAAATTAATCTATAGAAACAAAAATTAAATAGATTATACATTTGTAATAAATAAAACTTACTTTTTCTTTTCAACATTTAAAAGTTTTTGTTCCTTTGTTTTGTCTGTTGTACTTGCCTGAAATTAAAACAAGACCTTAATGTACTAAAAAGGCTATTATCTATATACAGAATATTATAATCAGTTTAAAGTGACAAATTTTAAAAATACAGTTTTATTTTCACTATCTGTTTCAAACATTTTTTTCACTTATCTGCAGTACTTTTATTCTCTGTAGATTAAATGCAAACATTGCAATCAAATACTTCTTCTACGTACCACAGCCTTCTTCAACTGTCTTTTCTCTGATCTTGCCTCCCCTCTTTCGTGTATTAAATCTTCCTTGAGTTGAAGAATACCATCTTCTAAATCTACAATCTGGAAATATACAAAATGATAAAGTTACAACCGTAATAATACATTATTTTTCCAGGCATGGTTAATAACAGCAATTATGATACATGAAATACCTTTAAATATGATATGAAAAATGATGTGTACAAAGTGTTTGGAAAAATAATCATTTTACCAGATGATTAAAGAGTATATAGATAATTGTAAATAAATCAGTATTCAAAATCTAAATAAGAATCTTTACACATAACATGCACAGGCAATAACAAAAATTAGATATGAAAAATATCTCCACTGATGCAAGAAAATATCACAACTACCATTATGAGAATGAATGTATTTCTTGTTGTTTAAAAATGACAGATAAATACTTGTGAGACCACATATTTATAATAATGGTCATTAGCTGTCCCGGTACTAGATTAGACTCAACCCGGTTCTTGAACATTTTGAAATGCCAGAATTTAAGTCATCTCTAGTTGGATTGGTCATATTTAAAGTATATTTATTGCATCTGTGTAGTTTTTTTTTTACCATTTAAAAGTTTTTTTTTTTTATGTATTCTCCAGAACCTCATTTTTTGGCGGAAGGATGAAAGATATACTACCCTCCAGGAGACAGGAGTTTTTAAAGTGGACAATTTAAACAGTGTCCAACAGAATGAAAATTACTGAAAATGGTATATGGGTAACATGTTATATTTTGGGCCTCATTTGAGTGGGATAGTATTGATGCTTAAAGTCGAAGACAGTGTATAATTCATCATGACTGATTTAGAGTACAAAATTTGACTATGCTGAGACCATTCACAGTAACTTACATCTTGATTTGTCTGTCTAACTTGGTCTCTAGTCTCATTTAGGTGAATCTGCATGCTGCAATAGAATACAGGAAGCTTATTTCATATAACAATTATACCGCAACGTCAAATTAATTAAAACAACATGATTATTATTATCATTCAAATACTGTTTATGTTTTGACCTTACCCCATTTCAAAGTTCAAACAAAAAACATGAAAAATGTGACAGGATGAACCTAGATTTTCCGCAAATATCACAAATGCAAAAGGGGAAATAATTCTGCCTAAATGGTAGTTTATGCCTAGCTACATACCTTCATATACCAGTCTTTTATCAAGACAAAGTTTCTCATTGAAAATCCTGCTTAATAATATCATTGATATCATGTATAAATTTTTTCATGTGTTCCTTGGATATATCATGATTCAAACAAAAAAAAAACAATAGTATAATTGAATACCAAAGGAGTAGAAAAAGAAGATTTATATTGGAATAAAGTGGAGAAATTTTAGTGAAAATTAAGTCTGGAAATGTTCAATAAGATAATAATTGAAAGACATTGGTACCTGGCTTTCTCAGCCATTCTTTGGTTAAGCTGTGAGATGATCTCCTCATGTTGTTGTCTAACTTGTTCTCTCTCCGGACTGAAATAATTATCATGATACGGTAAAGTTTTGTAAATCTTTGATAAATCAAACAAAATATGATAACACTTAAGAATAAAAACATGTAACAACAAGTCATAAAACAAAACATCAATTATTGCATTTAAAAGGTAATTATTGAATATATGTTATTAGATCCTCAAATTAAGCAGGAGCAAGGCTAAGTAATTCTTGAGTCATCCTATACCTTGATTTCAATTTCTCAGGTAAAATATTTCAAATATAAATAAATAAGTTTTATTTTTACATTTACTAACTGAAACTATTTACACACAAAGAAAAACCCAGAGATTTTCCTATGACAGTTTTAATAAGGAAATATCAGAGGCTAGACATTTTGTCTTGCATCCTACAAAACACAGCAAACCACACAAATACTCTAAAAAAATGTTCTAACCCCCTGTTTAAAGTTTAAATCTAGTAAAAACTCACAAATCTTTCAAAAAATAAAGAATTGAAAAATAGGCATATTTTATTTCAGTAATCAGCCTTTATCATACTTAAATAGTATATATTGGACTAAATGGCCTGCTTTGAACTTGAATAGACAATTTTCCAAGCATCATAGTACATGTATAGAATTGTTTACTAATAGCAGGGAAAATGTGTACAAGTAACCTAGCAGCTGAGACGGTAGACCTGCAGAATGGTAATTGTTGATGGTACAGACACAGGCTGTGTATTGTCCCCATCCTTTGACACAATCATAGGAGGATTTCTCATATCATAACACTAAAATTCAGAAGCCAACTTAAAGTATATAGTAGGGTCTAATTGCAAGGGCATTCAGACTGGTCTAGCAGTATGTACAGGGGGTATATACTCGCAAAACTGAACTGGCTTTTAAGCTTTCATGAGGTTGAGGTATTTTCTTGATGGAATCAACTTTAAATAATCAGTTCTTAAATCCTTAAAACAAATTAAGAAAGTTTTGTGTTTGTTTGTAAGGTTTTGCATCACACCAACACAGAAGGGGTCATATGTTGACTTTCCAGTTTTACTGTTGAAGGAACACCTAGGTGCACCCCCATGTATTATTTCAGGCACAAGTGGGACACCTAAGCTGAACCTCTTTTCCATAACTTAGCTGGATAGCTTCCTCACGAATAAAGAAATAAAACATTAAGTAATTGTCAACAAAAATACCAGCAAAACACTCTAAACATAAGGTAATAGCCACACAATATCCTGGCATATTTCCTGTAACAGCTATAACATTTGCTAAGGAAACTCTAACTACTAAGAATGATAAATTTTAAGTAGATGGGCAGGAAGTAAAATCAACATTTAAGCCACTGAAAATTTAATACAGCATGTTAAATTGTCTATTTGAGACATCCTGCAATATTCATTAAATGCAAGAATATTAATTAAATGAAAATCAAAAGGGTGATAGAAGAAACAGCTAGCAAATAACTACATGAATTTATCGATTTCAAATAAATAGACCAATGTCTTTTCTACATTGTTTTGAAACTATAATCTAAATGTCTTTAGCTACAGGAACTCAATATACCATTGTCTGAATAAAGAAAAAAGATCAAGATATTTTAAATTATACCAATAAAGACTGTATAATCTAACAAACTTTTAATCAAGTCAATAAAAAATATAAACTAACAACCAAAGTAAAATATATATTTTTTTATTTTAGAACAAGCCATATAAAATCTTATTGATAAAGACAACCTTAAAAATCAAAATCCATTTAATATTAAATTCTAATCCAATACATTAATAAATTTGTATTATTAACATCTACAACTTTGCATACAACACATTTGGCTATTGTTAATTACCAAAAAAAAACACCCAAAATTAACAAACAACATCATAAAGTCTTGTTATATATCACAGATGTGCTGGCTGGCCTGACCTGTATATAACAATACTCGTATTTATAGAATAAAAGAAGAAAATAATGATAACTTTAAATATAAATGTTTGTTGTTATTAAAAGATAAATTTCCATTTTAAAATAGATTCAAAGTACATGTACTTTACTTTTTTATAGTAAGTCAATCAGTAAATCCATCCTGATTCAGAAATGGAAACAAATCAAGAGTTACGCCCCCTGTGTCTAATTAGTTAAAATATTTTTTACGCCCCCTTGTGCCTAATTAGTTAAAATAATCAGTTTCCAGAACCTTGAAGAAAAAAATTGTAGAAATATGCAATGAATGGCTTACTGTAGTTGTGCATTTTCTTCATCAAGCTGTTTCTGGTAACCCTCGAGGTAGACTATGTTTTTGTTGACTTTCTCCAATTGATTCTTCAGGTATTCTATGGCATCAGCATTTGATTTTTTGGCAGAGTTAATAGCATCTGTATGATAAAAATTATCATGTAAGTTATTTTCCTAAGAGTGTGATTAAAAATGTTTAAATGCTAGTATAAAAAGCTTTTTTTCAAAGTTAACAAATTAGTAGGGATGGTTATTTAAAATCTAACATTAAAAAAACGTTTTATTTGCTGCTAAAACCATGTAAACATAGCTTCCATCAAAATGTTACTAGATTTGAATTTCCCAGGACACATTTATTCAGCTAGTGATGCAAAATAAAATCAAGCAGTAGTAGTAAGAAAAACAGTTTGATTACATTCATAATATCAGGGTCTTTCAAATATTAATATTAAAAAAATCCAGTTGTTGATTTTGTTGTTGTTTTTTAAGGTACCTGTGATTTCTTGGGTGATCCGTCCTGGTAGAAACTGCAGTGTATGTCTCTGTATACTGGCACGGATAGTCTCGGCTTCCAACCTGTCATGTGCCTCAGACCGTAATATTTCCTACATTTACAGTATAAGACAAAGAGTCATCAGTTTTTTACTTGAATCCATGTTCCTATATAACTGTTGAACAGATATACCAGTATATTGAAACATGCAGAATTTAGTCTGTAATCCAAGCATAGTTTTTTAGCATAAATCAATCTTAAGAAACACCCTTGAATATTAACGCTTATTAAAACTGTGTGACATAAATATAGATATAGTTATATAAGATTTCTAAATATAAGATGCAGACAATTATAAAAAACTTGATATTAAGTCAATACCTGATATTTATTTTAAGATTATAAATAAGTTGGTTCAATATATTTTTGTAAATAAACTTACCAGTTCCTTAAGTGCTTCAATCACTTTATCTATATTACATACATCTGTCTCACTAAAACCAAAATCATGTCTCATCCGATCACCTGCAAAAACATTATATATTAAGTTTAGAAATACATATAGAATGTATTGCCTATTTTCGTATACAGAACCAAAAATGTAGAGTAACTTATCACTTTATAAGGGGAAGTCAAAGGCATAATGGCAAAGCAGGCCCTGGCTTTGGCTTTCCTGGCTATAGACTATCACGTACATTGTATAATTTAAAAGGAAATAAAATTATCAAAAATATATACATGATGGCTCTATCCTTTGAATCATACATGCCATAACGTCCTGGATGTCGGGGAAAGTCCAAGAAATAAGGTGTCTGTCCAGGAGATGTTTTGTCCCGTTAAAAAAGAAAATCTAAAATAATCTACTTTGAAGCAAAAAATTTTACATTTTTAGATAATTTTATTGCCAAGTTTTTATAAACTAGTCTAGAATGCTAATAACGAACGATTATCCCCTTACAGCATTGCAATGCTAACACTAATCCTTTGATTGGTATATCTATTGGCCCCTTCCAACAAACAATTTTTGGCAATAATTTTGATCAATTAAAAAATTAATTGTTAACCCCCTGTGGCTTCCTGAGTGAAGGTGTCATACACTGTAATTAACAACTGGCCAGTATAAATTTAATCTGCCTGCAGGCAGTTATTAGCTTCCGACTTCCCTTCGTGGCGTGCACGTCGCTCGGAAGGCATAGGTCACACCAGATGGGTGACCTAGTTAGGTCACTTAGCTTGTGTGACCTAACCAACGGCGAAGGGTGTGGCCCTAAAGAGAGCTGCTGCTCCCGGAAGAGGTGCCTTTCCTCTATTGTCAACCATTGTTCAAGAAGTGAGGAAATGGGTCCTAGAGAAGGTCTACGACGAACGACAGCATGAAAAGACCTCTGTCGCGGCTCTACGATCGACGACGTTGCAGGTGAATTAAGTCCTCCGTTGCAGGCTCTACGACCAGCAATCGTAACAGAGGCCGATTGTCTGGGACATATGGGAAGCTGGCGCCCAGTATAAATAAAACTAAAACAACAACAGCAGTTATTAGTGGTCAAACACTGTGAATATTACCGCTAAATATGAGGTGATGAAATCTGCAAGATTCAGCGAATGTTTCAGGTAAAAGACATGACTAATTGTCCTTACTTAACATAGCTTTATTCTATTCTATGACTGATTGAATTTACGATGCCTTAATATTTAAAAAAGATAGAAAAACTGTTAGTAATTTATTTGTTTATGGTTCCATTAAATTTGCAAGTTGTAAATACCGGTAATATAGGTTGCATGCCACTATGTAAATTAAAAAAAATACGTTTGCTGATCAATGCCCAATCTCCAAATGAAAAGTGTCCCGTAAATGAGTCTAAAAATTATGGCATGTATGCCTGGAAACGCCCCAACAAAATTGAAAAACAATAATTTCTTAAAAAAAAGTATTGCAGGTATCAGCAATAAAAGAGTGACTTTGGAATTTGCTTATTAATTTCTAGTGGTAAACATTTTATCGACCATGAAATATAAAGTTTCATATCAGATTTTTGGATTTCGATGTTTTTATCCATGCCGGAAAACCCATCTAAAACCTTTAATGCCAGACTGCTTGCGCTCAAGTGACGTCATTATCTTTATGAAAGAACGGTTGTAAAAATTATTACGCTACTATTAAAATAGTATTTACGAAGTATATGTTAGTTGTTCATCCGTGCTGTTCTACAGAAATTAGAAACTTCGACTGGAGCAATAGCGACTGGAGAATATTTCTTATTTATGTAGAACAGCTACGGATAAATACAAACATACTTAGTGTCAGTGCTTTCAGTTAATATACATAAATGTAAACGAAACCATGAATTTTAGAGAAGAAGCCGTACTTTACCACTATCAAACCGGTGGAAAATTCTCTCACTTTGAATCTGGTGACGCGCATTTCAAAAGAAGTACAGGACGAAACATCATGAAATAAAATCCTGTGTGCCAGGAAAATTGTGGAGAAGGTTATTATAAGTACCTTTACATTAGAACATCACAAATTTCAGAGAAAAAAAGGGAAAAACCTACTTTTGGCTGCATCCGCCATTTTGTTTGTTTGGGTAAGGAATGGCGTGATTCTCCCCCATGTTATAAGGACCCCTACGTAAAGTCTGATGAATACTTAGTGGTACATCATATAAATAAATGATTCAAAGACTGAGGAAAATGGTAAAACTCTCACAAAAAAATATTGTTCTTGAAAAAATTTGTATCACTATTTTAAACAAATGACTTAAATTTGATATATACTGGCACCTCATATTTCCGTGGTACCCATATTTCCAAGGTATTAGCCTAAACAGTCCAAAGTGCCTCCTAGACTTCATGAACCTGCCAGTTAGTTTTACTTTTACTATTTTATTGTATTTTTATAGAAATATTACATATACGACTGGAAAAAAATATTCTTTTTATTCAGATTAAGAGCAAAGTACATGTAATTTATTTCACCATTTTAATTTTAGATTTCATACCTTTTAAGACAAATTTATGTCTTTGTTAAACAACCATTGTGATATTTGATAAATGCAAAAGAGAAAATCCCCACATTCAGACAAGCCTTGGTATAGGTGTACTAAAATATAAATATTATTATTGGGTTTGCTTTTGAAACTATTAAAATGTAATTGCCTTGGAAATATGAGAACACAACTTTACTCACTAGGCAGCAGATGGGTGTTAATGGAATTTGGAGGTTACGTACCATGGAGGTTACGTACCACTGCATAAATGTACCATTTTTGGAGGTTACGTACCACTATAGAAATATATAATAAAGTGATAATAAGGGATAAGGTGTGAAACTATCAAGTTTATTGTTCAAATTCGCGATTTAATTGTATTAATTTTGTAATGAGATTAAATATGTATGAATATAAAAGAATAAACAACAAACCAATTAACGATAATAAACAAGTTTTATATACAACACTGAAACGAACAAACGATGACAATAATTAATAACACTAATATAATTACACGCACTAAACTAGTAGTACAATGAAACAAACCACGGTAAATAAAAAAAAACACTTTTCATTTATAGTATTATTTTTTTATTTATACGCATTTCACTGAAATAAACAAAATAATCAATAGCAATAATAATATTTCATATACATGTTAATATACCGGACAAAATTACTTACCTTGGAAAAAAACAAGCGTTACATATTTATACATTTACATTTTATTTACACGTTAACCGAACTGTGCATAAAATGAAAATTATGTTACAATTAACAAGTATTTTTAAAAATACTTTTTGAGTTTTATTTATCCGCACTGAATAATAATAATATACTGAAATAAACAATACAAAATATGCAGGTTACGTTTTATTTACAGACTCATATATAAAAACACATAATTATGTTACACGCCCTGAAATGAAACAACAATACACAATTAACAAGTATTTTTTAAAATATTTCATTTATCCGCACTGAATAATAATAATATACTGAAATAAACAAGACAACAGATTCAGCACTCGTAGTGTCGTGTAACATTGCTGGAATTTGAAGGTGGTCTACTTCTTCTTGTGAGTTGTCAACAACCTGAAATTAAATTAAATAGGTTTTCCTGTCCCACATAAACGATGCTGCCAATTATTACATTGGTCGCATTGTAAAGCATGTTGTCTTCTTGTAACTTCTTTAGAACAATCTAAACAGTGTGCTGCTGATTCCGTCATGCTGCTTCTCTGTAGGTAATTGCAGTTGTGATATCGGACAAGAATTGCGGTATATTTATATGTTTATTAGAGTTCACTCATTTAAAGTTTGAGTTACACGTACGTCAAAGCCGGATCAGAGTTGTGATAAATAATTAATACCACACTGATTCACTCATATGTCAATAGTTTGCAATTTGTTTGTGATTTGTTAGATTACTCATTTCTGAATGTGTGATAATCATATATAAAACGTTTGCATTTATATTAATTGCTCATATGTGATTTTTAAAAAAGTAATAATAAAGTTTTAAAATTCGGTCTTTTTTTATAATTGTTATGCTCTATATTATTTGTATTTTATATAAATTATATATATGGTACGTATCCTCCAAAATATATAAGTGGTACGTAACCTCCAAAAATGGTACGTAACCTCCTGGTACGTATCCTCCGTGGTACGTAACCTCCAGTAATCGTGTTAATTACAATGCTGTATACATAATTGCTTACATGCATACATTAAATGGAATAAACTTTGATGCAACTGACATGTCTATCCTACAATATTCAATGTGTTTTTCAGAATTTTATCCTTTTAACTTTTGTTGTCTGTGTTAAACAGTTCAGTACCTCGGAAATATGAGGCACCAGTATAGTTGAAGTTGGACAATTTACATAGTGTCATTTAAAACAAACCGTTTGTTATTGTTTTTCTGATAACATCTGACAATTAATTATGTATGGCATTTCTGCAAGTGTTAAAGTTAATAAAACATGTGACTTTACGCAATTTAGTCAGACATGACATCAGCGCCACAGAATTTAGAATGTGTTGTGACTGAAAATTGGTTCCCATAGTCTTTGCCCTACTTTTTCGTTCATTTAAAAATAAATCAATCGAACCTAGCTCTTGTAAATGTTCAACAGCATTATTTACACCAGTAGTCTCCACTTGCGATGACATTTTTTCCTAATATACTAATAAATAAGCTGGCCTGCGCTCATCTCACTTTCGTCGCCATTTGTAAACAATTTATTTGATATACTTCGGTTATTTCCGTTGATTTGTTGCAACCTAGGTTGGTTTCTAGCTTCATATTGGATAAAACCCGTTTTGATTCCCGTTTTTTACCGTTTATCCGGTGTCACCAAGGTACGGAACTAGTTCTGGTCGGTGATTTTTTGTCCCTTTTCAAAGAAAAAGAGTGATATAGAAACAGGCTCCGTCCGTCTGTCTGTCCGTCCGTCTGTCACATTTCATTTCCGGTCCATAACTTTGTCATTTATCAAAGGAATTTGAAATAACTTTGCACAAATGTAAGGTCCTAAATTTATTATTTGTATTTGTTGAAAAATATTAGATGACAGTTTTTTAAACTATGGAACACCATTACCACTTTTTTAATTGCGACGAATTAAGTAAAATGAATTCTGAATACTTTCATGTTTTATTGTTAAATGAGTCTACTAGGTTTTTCTTTCTTATTTTTTGATAGTTTATTTTAATTGTTTTGCATAATAGAATCTATATGTTATGTTATTATTATTTCAGGGGTACCGCTTTAACTTCATTTTGATTTTAAAAAGATGTTGTCATAAAGCTAAAATCCAATTAACAATATGTACACTAAATAAGTAAGTTTGCTTACCTGTGCTTATATTTGCATTATTTTTACATATATGACACAACAATTTGTTTCCACATTATTTTTACTAGTTTTAATGAATATTGTACATGTATGAAATAGATGGTCTTCAGCTTTTAGCATAATTCTATATAAAAAATTTCTGATATTATTTTCAGTTTTTAATATACACTCAGCAAAAATAGAAACCTGACAGTGTATATTTTATTATTATTTTCAAGAAATCGATGACGGAAATGTAAAAACGAATGTTGGGCATGAGAAAGAGATGCATGTACAACATTGATATGCATTTTGTTGTTTATTAATTATGTTTAAGTTTGTTAAATTACGCTAGTTCTAAGGAAAGGGTCAAATTCAATTTATCAATTTTGTGGCTATAACGTTCTGACAACGTGCAGATAGGTTTTAATCATATCATTAACAGTTTAACAATATCGGCTGTGGCCACCTCTGGCTTTAAGTAGTATGTCAACGCGTCGACGCATAGAATTGACGAAACGTTGAACAAGGTTATTTGGAAGATTGTTCCATTCCGCTATCAATGCATTTGTCAGTTGGAGGATATTATGTGGGGCGTGATGTCGTCGGACATTTCTGCTAAGCACATCTTAGATATGCTCTATCGGGAGACATTGCTGGCCATTGCTTGGTATTGACGTTTGGCTGCAGATGAGTGAGCGCGAATTATCCTCGCCGTGTGAGGACGGGCGTTGTCTTGTTGAAACACAACGGGACTGTTTCTTGGCATAAACGGAATAGCCTCGGCATTCAAGACTTCGTTGATGTATCTCTTGGCGTTTAAGTTGTCGTGTATAACAAAATGCCGGGTCTTTTGTCCACCCATTATTCCGCCCCATACCATGACGCTACCACCACCGAAACGATCATGCTGTATAACACAGACAGGTGCAGACCTTTCGCCCTTTCGACGGTAAATTCTTACACGACCGTAGAGTAACGAGACTCGTCTGAAAACATTAAAAGTTTGTGTATTACCGTTATGGCTCTGCTGGTAGATCGAGGTAATTGTAACTGTTCTATTTTCTTTTTTGTATTTTTCGATCGCAGTGTAATAAAATATTCGATCAGGATCCATACTCTTCGCAATCAGTTTCTCTACTTGTAAAAGAGTTGGTAAGCGAACAGCGTGGATCCTGATCAGACTGCGCGGATGCGCAGGCTGGTCTGGATCCATGCTGGTCGCAAACGCATTACGTTGGTTTTGTCGTGACGCGGCTCATTTCATAAATCTGCTTGAATTGGTTCACATCAGGTGGCATGTGTGATCACTCATTGCTCTTGTTTATTTTTTATGTTTATTAATGTGCTTCCCAGAAATGTTTCATCAGAATAATAACAAAATTGAATGGGTATGAAATCATATGATAATTAAGCATTCTTGACAGCAAAATGAAACATTCTGTTAATATTTATTATTCAAAACAAACAACACAGAAAAATGTCCAGATAGTAAATACTAAATACACATATTTCCTTTTGTTAAATTTTTATGTGTTATTTCCTTCATTCTCCGCAAAAAAAGAAATGACAACCAATCAATGCACCGACATTCGTGTATTCATATTGATGCCTGTGTTATGGCAAATACAAATATCTTTGGCCAGTTAACTAAACCAGAATAAAATCGCTGTATTAATACTATTATTATCTGATATTTTGATACAAGATTTTGATATAACTATGTCCCTGTCGAACTCCTTGATCACTGTAATATTGTAGCTACATATATATTATATAATGGTTAGAAATTTAAAGTCCTTTAGATAATAATTGTTGAACAAACTCATCATTAACAATGCATGTGGAAGATAGATATGGGATCAAAATTTATTACATTTAAATGGGTTGATATGACTTAATTAGGATATAAAATTTTCTAACTCGAAATTATGAAATAAAACACTCATTGATCTGAAATGGGTTTGAAAACTTCTGATACAAGAGTACATGTATTTCATTTTGTATCATGTATGGAATGTCTTGATTGATAAAATGCCCTAGTTGAGTAGCTGTGAATGCTATAGGCCAAACAAAATTTGTTTGTTGTTCATTGTTTGAAGGTCATTAAGAGACCAAGTCTACAATTCATTTCAAAAAAGCTTTTGCAGGTTTAGCCCTTTGTATGTTTAAGGTCATTAAGAGACAAGTCCTACATTAATTTAACCTGAGTTACATTTCCCAGAAAAGTTGTGAAGGTTTAAGTCTTTATTACTCTGGAACTGAAAGTGGTAATCCACTACATACAGCCAGGAAGCCTGCCTGTGTAACACTAAATTTTGACTCCGATGCCTTAATTCCCATTATTTAATGACTACCCACCATAAAAATTCCCAACTAGTGATCAAAATAAAAATGCTAAACGTGCCTATAATTGGTCATATACATGAACAGTAATATTTCTGTATTCCTGTCAGATTTTAAGTGATAAATATTTATTCATTTTAATCAAGAGGACCAGGAGCTAATTACAATTTGGCAATTACTGATATTGGACAACTATATGGTACTTAATTATAATTAACGAATGAATTATACAGCCGTTCAACATTTCTGTAATGATCAGGGGGAGTAACCGTTGCGAGATGTGTATTGTATCTGCAACGGTTACTACCCGTGTTTAGTACAGAAACGTGAGTACCAAGGTGCAAGGTTGGTGTAGAAGAATTACAAGTCACAAGTTAAATTGCACAACTTTGATTACCTTCAGCAAACCTGAATTGGGTCATACTGCGGAAGATATTATTTATCACTGGGTACATCATACAAAAAGATGTTAAACAAAAAATTAACTAACCGTTATAAAATGACCCTAATTTGATCAAAATTTAATTAATGATTATTTCTCAACGACTTTTTGATCAAACTTTAATGTTTAATAGTAGGCCTGGCCAATTCTCAACGTCGAAAAATGGCCGATGTTCAGTTCTCAACATTGAAAAATTACCTTCCTTTTAACGGGGTCAAAATTTATTACATGTATCACACCGAACATCCAGGATCTGTAGTGTTGTTTGCACATTTTTGTATTTTGATCGTAATTGAAATGCCTTAAACTTTTAAGTAATGGACTGTTCTAAATTCATAGCAGGACACGCTCATTACAAATAAATAAGGCATTTCAATCAAGGAAAACTTCCAAATTCATGCATGACAGAAATGTGTTAGTATAATGTGACATTATAATGCAAATGATGCTGTTACCTACCCCCCCACCCCCTCCCCCGAAAATATTTTTGTTATTAGATATGAAAAAATGCATTTAATTCTCAAATGTTTCTTTAACTATTATAAACCTTTAATTAGTTCTGATTTCTACTACTGCACATTGGTTTGGATTTTATGTTTTTAAACGAATACCGGAAAGCTGTACCGCAGAGTTCTAAGAATCATTTTCAATGACTTGAACTCTTCCTATAATTAGCTGTTAAAGAAAATAAACAATTTGTCAATATTACATCTAGCCCAAAGAAACCATCAATTATCATTTGTTGTCAATCACCACATGTACCATTTTTAACGATAAAGTTCAATTTAAAATTCAATTCTATCGAAAAATAGCAACAAAACAAAAACTTTAGGCATTCCAAGGGTCAGTATTTAAGAACTCATTTAGGTTTGAGGACGCGCAGATCTCGAATAGTCCTAAAATGATTTATTTCTACAATGAGAAAAATATTGCCTCAGTTTTCAAGAGGAAAGTAAAACACGGTATTTGTATATTCTTTTATAAAACACTAAAAGACTGGTCTGACTAAATATTTACTTTCAGGCAGTCATTATTGAAATTATTTTATATATCTTCTCAGGAAGATAATTCTGTACATGTATATTTAACATGTACCTAGTGTTGCTCTCAAAAGACTGGTCTGACTAAATATTTACTTTCAGGCAGTCATTATTGAAATAATTTTATATACTAGTATCTTCTCAGGAAGATAATTCTGTACATGTATATTTAACATGTACCTAGTGTTGCTCTCAAAACACAATAGCCTGCATTTCAATCTATTTAGAACATGTTATCTAAATATTGCACTTCATTAATCATATATGAATAATAGGTATAGGTAACTATATTGGTACGTCGAATATCACAGGTTTGAACACTGTCATGTGTGATTTGGTTGATAAATAGTAAGGAACAATTAAAAATTTTGAAAAGTTTCTTCAGGTAAAGGGTGATAAATCAAAACATGGACAAAATGTTCAATAGAAAATAATTCTTTAAATTAATGTAGGGGATTCAGTTATAAACCTTGTCATTGTAAGTAAAGTAGAATATATTTGTTTTAAACATATTTATCTAAGCTCGATTGCGAAACAAGTTCTTGCAACTTATATTAATCATTTTCGAGTCTGCTTCCTGGAAGCAACCAGTACTGGTGTCATATGAAGAAACATGGTCGTGACCCGATTAGGGCTTGAACCCATGATCCCTGGTTGAAAGGCAGACACCTTAACCACGAAGTAGGATATATTTAATTATTTCAGGTACATGCGGGCGAACTAGCTGGATAGCTTCCTCATATAAAGGAATCCAATGTCCCCATATATAACTGGAAAACAGAAACAGCGATCGAAACCAAACTATACCTGTAAGCAAAATAACTGATGATATATTATATTGTGACGATGGGTATTTATAATTAGTTATGAAAATGTGTTTTGATATACTGAGAATACATTTTGATTTGACAAAAATGTGTCTTAAACATTTTTATGATAAAATTCCTCTTTGTCTATGAGAGGTTTGCGTAAGTTCCCTAACGAATGATACAAATTACATGTTCTTTGACGAGATTCGATACTTGTGCGCCATAACACGTCAAAAGTCACGTGATTTACAGCAATGAAATACGTAAGTACAAATGTTACTGGTGTTCATAGTTGGAAGTTTAATCAGAGCGAAAAGAAAGTGAAACGTTGTACATATCTATCAAGGTCATTTGTGGAGCTTTGCAATCACTATTAACCTCAGTTAAAATAAACTGTTACAGAAAACTCTTGTGAGCAGAAAGGCTGAATTAGATACACGTACGGATATTAAAAACTAAACTTCATTGTTAATATATACGTTTCTCAACCAATTACTAACTTTAATGACAAGTGTATGATGAAAAAATTAAAGGGAAGTACTAGATATTACTTGCTATGCTAGAAAATCTATATAAAATGTTCCTAAACTATTTTTTTTCAGGTCGCAAAGATGCTTGTTCCTATCGCTTATTTACTTCTTATTGGCGGGTAAGGATAGCTAAGGTTAAAATAAAATTGAAGGTGAAATTTAAAAAAATAAACATTTACATGTTTTGATATTTTGATATCAAAAAGATAACAAAAGAACGCATTTCACATACATGTATTTATACAATTAATTTTATACATTGAGTATTTTTTTCTTCTGACTTATTTTGTTCATGTAAAACATAACACAGTACGGGAAATTTATACCTTACTGTTAACGGCTTTCATGCGCTCGTCATACAAATATATATTTGCGTATAGCCAATTTAGTAGTATTTATGTCATTAAAGTTATTGAATGATGGTACCCGAGCTGATTCTTTGAAGGTAAACATATGTTTGAATTTCAATAAATACAATAAATAGCATTTTAAATAAAATCCTCTTTTCGTAGATTCTAATTACAATTTATTTTGACACTGAACTTTAAAAGACTACGTGTGCAAGTAAGTGAACTTTTTTTAGAAGCCCCTTATTTGAAACCTCGAAACGTTGGAGGATGATAAATTTTGTACAATAGATAGTTGTATATGTGAAATATTTTGACAGAGTAACATGCTTGAAACGTCAAAATGCTGGCAGTACTGCATCTGAATTGAATGAATTTAATAAGAACTTAAACAAGAATTTCCAAGAGTTGGACTATGACAATAATGGACTTGTTGAACTGGTGGACTTTGAAAACCGCATTCAAAGACAAGACTATGATAGTAAGTGTTCATATACTCGTGCATATAAGTGTTTCATTAATGATTTCTTGGATATTTTTTATCTATGCTGGTAAAAAGCCTGTCGGTTGAAATTCTATATATATTCAACATATGATAGGGATCATTCCTGCCATAGTTTTAAAACGCACGTGTACGCTATGTAATATCTTTTAAAATCCACATTTTGAATCACGTGGACAATACAGAAAATTGATATAAACACAGCATGTCAATATTTACATAGTTCCTATTAAATGTTTGTCTCAAACGAAATTAATCATCATCCTAATATCCTAACAATAACAAAATAATCATCAATAATCATCAATAATCATCATCAATAAATAGAAAATCTACACAATAACAAATGCAAATAGAAATTGATTGAGCTATTGTTTTACTATGTTATTGTTGGATGTTTTGTAGAGGATGGCTGCGTTAGCTTTCATGAGTTCTTAAGGATACGACAGCACGAGTCTCTTAAGTTTGCATGGTCTGTGTTTAACCACTTTGACCATGATCATGATGACTGTTTGGAAGTGCAGGATGAGATTGAAGAATTTCATGAAATTGATATCAACCGTATGCTTCTTTTAATACCTTTTATGCTAATTTATATACATGTACCTAGAAAAAAGTTTCAGATTTAGTCAACCAATTGTTTGTTAACATTGATTTGATAAAACTTATGTAAACGTATTTTCAAAATTTCTATGACAACATAGAGGCAATCAATGCAATAATATACTGTCTGTGTCACCATGCTTTACCTGGACTCCATTGAGTTGCCCTTTTAAATGAAAGGACTGGATTGTCTTCAGTATTTGATGTAGGTTTTGACCAATGACTTGTGTGCAAAATTACAGATATTTCAGTCACCCCAATTCTCCAGATTTGTAATTTTAATGAAATATGACTCAGACATGCAAAGACTAGCGGTGGCCTAGTGATTAAGGTGTCTGCCTCTCAAACCAGAGATCATGGGTTCGAGCCCTATTCGGGTCCCGACCATGTATTTTCATATGACACCAGTACTGGTTGGTTCCAGGAAGCGGACTCGAAAGTGATTACTATAAGTTGCAAGAACTTGTTTCGCAATCGAGCTAAAATAAATATGTTTAAACAAAAAAATAAAGGATTTTGGATTCATTTCTGACTAGCGAAGTTAAATCGAAATTATCCTTTATTTCCCCGTTTTTATAGCCCCTGTTGATCTGTTTCAGTATTTCAATTTTGACGGTTTTTTATGCATTTGGACCTCATTAGAGCCCCTTTAAAGCAAAATGCATTTTTACGAGTTCATCCAATTAAATAGAAAAGCTTGCTTTTCCTATTGCTGGTTAGGAAATAGGAAAAAGGAAATTTTCGGTAAGCGGTATAATAAAACTGTCGAATATCTTTTCAGCAAAGGATGGAGAAATTTCTATTCAAGAACTGGACACTTATTATGACAAGGTATGTTCTATATATCGTGTTTGTCTTGTATACATATATTCATCCCGATATAAGTAATTAAGTAATTGAGTAAAAAGTATATTTATTTATCACATACCCGTGCCGATTTTGCGACACCGTAAAAACGGTATTGCATGGTCGTGCATATATTTTGATGTGACGTCATTTGCGTTATACAAAGATGGTGTAAAGACACACTAAATGTTAGCGCTACACTATAAGCGTGCCAATGGAACATGTTAATTTTTCACTTTAAATAGTTATTATTTAGGGTACGTGATAAATAGAAAATTAAATTCGTGTAACTTTAAATTTAAGAATAAAAGAATACTATGCTCGCCAGAGGCTCGAAAAATAAAATTTTATTCAACTCGTTGATTTTTTTTACGGACGCGGACAGACACATATAGGTCTCGTCACGACTAGATGTCTCGAATGAAATTAAATGCTTTATTGACTTCGCAAGAAAATACTGAAAAGCTCATTGAAAAAATGCGGCTGTATGATGTATCGCTGACAGATACATCAGAACCCGGTTTTTCAAAACATTAGTTAAAACTAAGCAATGAACGACTTATCCACTAGTTTAATCATTAACCAGCGGCCAAGTATTCATTGGATAAAACTTCATTGCCTACCTTGGCTACCTTGGTGGTGGCGGTGTTGGTAATTTTCACTCCGGATTACGGCATTAACCCACATTGAATTCACCAGAGCACACATTAACCACCGCATCGTTCCCGGGCAGACTGTCAAGCACTTTACCAGTACTAGTTGCTTTCACTTTCGCAAGGAACTGAAACTACTTTACATAACAGAGCAGAGGTACAGGTTCAGTGCGAATGACCGTAGAAAAGATTTCATGATCAGCAACGAAAGTGACCTGCGCCGTCCGGGAACTGAACTCGGGTCGCCCGATACAGAGTCCAACGCTCTTCTTATTGAGCTAACCGGGAGCCCCTGGTTACCTTTACCAGTGGATTGCGTATTTATCCACTGGTAAAGTACCACAATGCAACAGGGCTTGTTAGTGATTATTGAAACCAAATGGCCGATTTAATAATGCATATGGAACTTCAAAGAATCAAGAATCCCCCAAAGAATTAATTTTACATGTTTTGAGCTTTCATATTTTTGAAATTTTTGAAATTAAACAAAAAAGTATAGCAAAGTATCGATAGATATATTTTTTCTTAGACAAATTTTATCCGTTGGTTAACACTAACCAATGATTTGAACAACCGGGTTCTGGTCTTCGGTTGCAAAAGAGATGAAAATCTAAAACTTAACTTGACTTTATGTTTTGTTCCTTTTTCTTCTTGCCTTAATGCTTTTATAATACAAATGGTTTTGCATAAGAAGAAAGTTTATATCATATTCTACAAATAATTATTTTCTATTTGCTATGCTATAATTAAAAGTACTTGGAATAATACGTACCTATATGGAATAAAAAGGGCGCTATTCCATTTGTACGTGTTCCGTGATCCGCGTCCGTAATCCGCGTTCGCGACCAATTCGCCCAACAAAGAATACGTTGAGTCTAGTCCTTTTGTCCGTTTATTATCCGCATCAGTGACGGCATCCGTGACGTTTCGCAGGATGAGCGATTTTTACGGACGCGGACGGTCATGGTAGTGTTAATATACGTACCTGGTCTCGCCAAGACAAGATGCCTCGAACGAAATTAAATGCTTTATTGATTTCGAAAGAAAATACCGAAAAGCTCTTTGAAATAGTATGGGAGAACTGTGTGATGCATCGCTGACAGATTAAAAAAATGAAAATACTAAACATCTGGAATTCGGTTGCAAACGGATGAAAATCAAAAACCTTACTGGTTTTTAAGGTTTGTTCCCTTTTTCTACCTAAATTCTTTGATGGTACAATGGTTGTGATACTAGGAGGAAATTATATCATATTATACAAATTACTATTCTCTGTTTGCTATACTATAATCAGAAATATAAGGAATAATACGTACCTATGGAAAAATACACACGGACATGTCACGGGCGCGCATCACGGACGCGGACCACAGATCGCGTACAAATGGAATAGCGGCCTAATACTAACGAACATTCCCCGGATCACGGATGAAACAGCGACCTTACACACGCCGAAAAATGACCCTTTTATAACAGTTAATTGATGTTATACGAGATATATGTGATAAATAGAATATTATATTCGTGTAGATTCAATACAATTTTTTTAACTCGTTGAAAAAATCAACATGGTATAGTCAGAGACTCGCATTAAATGATTTTATTAAACTCGTTCAATAAATCTACACCTAATCATATTATATATGCGTGAAATTTTTAGTTTCTCTCACAATGAAATACATAATTTACGCTCAATAAAGATCTTGTTCTGAAAAGTATACCTCGTACAAATTATTTAAAGGATTCTTTTTCTTATATCAGTATTGACGTTTGGAATAAATTACCTATTAGAATCTACTATCAAACAATGTCTTTCAAAAACTTGTATTTTTTTTTTAAGATTACAGTTAGAAACATGATGAAAATTGATCACTTTATATTTTAATTGTTGTAAATGTTGATATCACCATTTTTACTCTCTCTTTTTTATCATTACGAGTTAATCTATAATTACTATAATCAATATGAGTGTCAGTCGAATGAATAAATAAAAATTATCTAACCTTTACATTCAAGAATTTAAATAATATATAAATATATTTTTTTATATACCAAAAGATTTTAGATATTTGTAAAGATCTGCATTTTTTTCTTTGTTATTGTTAAATCAGAAGGCCATACTGAAAATAAGTATACTTCTTACTGTAAACTTTGTATGTAATTTCTATAAATAAAGATTTATTGTTATTATTATTATTATTATTATTATTATTATTATTATTATCCCTTTTAAGTTAACAAAAGCAATTTTTCATGTTTTAATTGAGAAAGATTACAGTTACTGGAATATTTTACGCATATTATTGCAAAAAAGTAAATAATATGCCGAAATATATATTAGAAATGAAAACATCATTAATATTTTGAACAAAATATATGTTTCAGTTTATTGTGAAATGCACTTTATTTTGTAGCTCTTCGAAAAGATTATGGTGTACGTCCACACTCCTTAGAGATCAAACATACTGAAATTTTTGTTTGTTTAAAAATGAATCAATCAGTTTGAAATAAATTTCAGAGAACTTATCATTTTGTTTTCTCTTATTGGATGTAATACATAATCTAAATCGTCTTTTATTTGTTTATTGTTTTTATTTTTTATAGGGTCTTATTTAAAATATTAACAATCAAATAACGAAGCAATTTCTATTCAGCAGCTATTTTAACATTTACTAGAACTGTATGGATGCGTTGTATGGAACTATTCTATAATATTGACTGCAGCAATACGCAGTTAGACAATCGGATCCTTTTAACAAGGGTCTGTCCTTCCATAAAATGAACATATCCGTATTAAAATCTTGAAAAGACGTGATCCATCGGAAACAGTGAATCATTTAGTATCATATGAAAATTGCAGACTCGGTTTGATTGTGTCTGATCGTGATAGATAACGTGAAAGTATGCAGCTTTCACAAAGGCAGTACAACGAATTACTATAACAATGATTTGACATTGTTAGTTTTGGATGATGTTAAGACATACTTATGTGTTCATTTCTATTTGTACAGAAAAATCTATAATTTATGACTGCAAAGTTGTTTCTCGTGAGACTTCATGTAATTTTATCTCCACTTTTCGAAGAAAACTAGTGGAGCTTTCGCCGGCGTTGGCTCCGGCGTTGGTCAATCTTTTCGCTTAAATATATGGCTGTTTTCTCAGAAACTGTAAAATCTTTTCACTTCAATGGTATAGACCTTTTCACAATACAAGTTTTCCATAGTAACGGATGCTGCATTTCGCGCATGCGCATTCTGCGTGGAGCAAAAACATAATAACGCAAGACTACATTATATCACACTTAAATTAAGACTTTAATAAACGTGTATTACTACCCAGAAAACAGTAATTTTTGGATGACATAAAGCGGTAAGTACTAACAATCTTGAATTGATATTTATAACAGAAATATGCGGGACTAATATTATAATTTAACTATAAAAAAGCGCAATCACAAGACTTCTGTTTTAGACATCATTATACGACTTTATTTTATCAATACATATTTTTTAAATTGACTCAGGAGGGTGTTAAGATTTTACTACCCACATTACATTATATTACACAATTTGTATTGTGCGCTTCCTTGGGAATGCGGTAAGAGCCAATTAGATTGACACGTAACCGGCAGGTTTACAATGAAATATCATTCAACCGGGACGTTTTAGTACCACGACATAGTTATTTTTTTATAAAAACGTTAAAATATGAAAATCGTGCATGTGTCACGAAGAACCGGATAAAATTGATGTTACTTCAATACCCATCTTAACTTCTCAAGATATTAAAAAAACTATTTAAATATATCTATGTGACTTAAATTTTTCTGTTTTGTATTACATTCAAATCGAAAAAAAGGATATAATGAGGTAAACTGAAAATTGAAAATGCATTATCACGTGTTCTGACTTATTCAAAATGATAATTAACCTTGATTTCATAATTCTGTTAAATTTACTTAATTTTTAAATGAACTATTTCAACAAAAATAAGTTGACCTCTTTATTTGAAAGTAAATATATGCTTTTTTACGCCCTTCTTGTCAATCAGCTGTTCGATATTTTGTAACGAGTCTTCTGATTGGCCAATAGCAGCGAAAACCGCAACGTTTCACACAAGGATGCCTAATGGCGTAGAAAGCGATTGATTAAAGACCGTGTAAATGTTTGAAACTCGAATCTCGTGTGTATCAGATGCTACTGACAGTTGTGAGTGGCCCAACTTAATGTATTTAGTAATATTATTTAGTAAATTCAAGTGATTTTGACCCGTACTCAGCTGACATACATGTATTAGTCTATGTTTACGTACCGAATTGTTGTGCCGCAATTCTGTCTACCAAGGATTTTTAGCACGAATTCGCTCGTTTCCTGATAGATATTTCATGAACGGGAAGGGCTAGAGACTTGGGGTCGGTCTCATTTTGAAGCTTAATACAAACGTGAAATAGTGATAAAAGTTTTTTTTTAATTGTCTGGCCAATTGTTTTCACAACGGCCCGGGAAATGAATCCCTTGATCGTAGGCTTGAATCCGGAGTTTCCGGCCTTCTCTTAACTTATAGTATATTTTTAAAGGGGGTATTAATTATTTACAAATTACACCTTTTTTTGTTTTTTTGACACTTTTTTAAGATGAACACAGGTTTTTTTTATCAATCTGGTCATATTTTTCTTCCCAGGTCCGATACTCGTGCCTGTGGTGTATACTCGGAAAACACATCGCTAGCTAACTGCATTCCGATATTTTTACATAAATATCTGTAATCTTCAAAAAATATGAAAAACTCGCCTTGTTTATCTGTCACACGTCCTAGATGGGTGCTCACAACGAGGAACGGAAGTTGCTCACAACATTTTAACCGATGGACATTTTACACTCGTTGTGAGTTAAACGGGCGTGTCTAAGCTGATGAGGACAAAAATAAAAGACATTATTTTTTCTTTCTTTTCTTAACCACTATTTAAAATAAATGCAGGTTTCGAGTTAGTAAGATATTTCAGTATTTTGCTAATGTTTTCATTTTCGTCAACAGTTTACTAACTCTCACTAATTAATGCAGGCCTTTGCGTAATCATTGTCAGCTGAAGATCGATCATTTAGTTTAAAAATTAACATGATGCTATGATATAGCAACAAATAGGAAATAACTTCTCATTACGTTAATAAAACTCGAAATTTTAAATGGCGCCCATTTACATGCCAATCTATACCCAGAACAATACCTTATACTCTTTATATATCATGCAGTATAATTAACAAAAAAAAATAATACTACGTAATGTATAAAATATTTGAAAGTGTCTCCTCACTCTAGAGGCTGAGAAAAACATTTCAAACCCTAACATGGTGATAATAGCAGTATAATATAATGTATAAAGCATTAATATAAATATATTCTGGAACATAAGTAAAATAAACTTATCCACACCAAACTTAAATACTTCATATTTGCTTTCTTTACGTCAACGAAATATTGAACTGCTGTTTCTGAAACAATTGGAATACAGCAAGGTTTGTTTTGTTTATGCTTTTAGAAGCCAAGTCATACTTCTCTTTATGGATCAATATATTTGTGTAATCTTCCTATTCCATTGCAATTTCAATCTTTTCACGTGCAGGTCTGTTATTTCTCGCACCTCAGAAATGGGTTTGAATGATATATAATCCTCTGTACAAGAATGAAATGTTTTATAAATAAACTTCAAAACACATATCTTTGCATCCTTAAACATCGAGTGTGCAATCAAGTTAACAAAATTTACTATATAACATTTTATTAAGAATCACTCATTTATACACTTACATCCATTGACAACTGAAGCACAATGATCTCGTAAATGAACACAGACATGGATTATTATGACAGTCAAGAATATTTAGCTTAAATTTCATAAGCAATTCCATCAGTATATGAAATAAATGAAAGATATTCTACTAGAAATGAAAATTGAAAAGAAAGTGTAATAGGCTGTGAAATTCTAAACAAAATTAGTATGTGTGTTGGCATAATGGTTCAAATGTTAGCCTGTCAACATAGGGAGAGTGGGTTTAAGCCATTTAATGTTTTCTCATGTGAAACCAGAAGGGATACACAGGAAAGGGATCAGGCTTTAATGAATAGTTAAAGTGACATTATGCTCATATTTTCATAGTCAAGTTGAGCTGAATTGACTTTTTATTTCAAAAGACTGTTAAAATGGTGTTTAACCAACAGTTTATTTTGGAAAATGTTTAGGATAGAATTTAAAATCTACCTAAACTATAAAAAGACTGCCCCACTCTTTTTACAAAGTATACGTTTCGGGTAAGTTCTAATTGATATATACAGATAATCCGTTTCGATCCGGGGGTTATTGTTTGTTTATTTGAAGTTAATTATTAAATTAAAAGAAATTATGTCAATATAAAAACTTATTTTGAGTTTCACGTGTTCACTCACTGTATACCCTTGAATGGGCATAATGTCACTTTGATAACACCATTTTTTATGCTTGGCTTTTCACTTAAATAATTTTTTGAAATAAGAAAAAATTGTGTAAGATATTAATATTTTTTACGTTTTATATAAGATCATATCTTTAAAGGTAGGACATTTCAAACTGGGGAGTTTCGCAAAAAACATCTTATGGACATTGAGCACAGATTCTGTGTATATAGTTTATTAAGAAGTTGATTTAACCTAAAATGAGTCCTTTATTTAGCAATACATCAATCATCTGTGCAACGAGTCACGTAGAAGCATTTCATAACATAACAAAAGCTGAATGCAAGGATATGGCGTACACAAGTCAATGAAATTACAAATTTATTAAGCTTACTCATGAAATAATCGTGCTTAATATTCTTACCTTTGTTTCCCGAAACTTCAGCAGATTTCCTGCGAAATGGCGGGTTTGTCTGTGTATGCGTTTGGAATACTTCGTAACTGATCCATACATAAACTATAACTGTCAATAGGCAGATGGCAGTAGGCAGTTATCAGTGAGCAGTAGGCAGTGAGCAGGCAGAAAGCAGCAGGAAGTGAGCAGTAGGCTGTCGTTTATTAAATTCCGTAGCTGATATATATATATTTACACATATTTTACAACAATTTTCCCAATGTGTGGCCCGTGATCGTAAATTCTTAAACAACGTCTATTCCATGTCTATTTTTGGCAAATCTTGGCCACAAAGCTATATAGGGGCATCTTATGTGGATTTTAAAGCTATTTAATATGAACCTTAAACAAACGCGGAATTGTCTATGAACCTTTTTCTACGTTACTTTGTAGGACGATGCTCATTTCGCTCTACGCAGATTGAACATGCGCGAGAAAGTACTACTTCCGGTCAATTTTTCTTAGCAACGGAACGTGTCGGAAATAGGTCTATAAATATTTATTATCATGACACAAGCAATTACAAATGTGCAGATAAAACTCCTTTTATTTTGCAAAGTTATGCCAAGGTGTTTTTTTTTGCCTTGGTTAACATTTTTTCCAGGTTAATTTTCTCAGAAACTATTGTAATGATTAACTTAAAAC